CAGGAGAGCAACAATTCGGATCAAGTCTCACCAATTCAATAATGTCATTACTTGTGACAGTGTAAACCTGTTCATAGCCATTCATTCTGGACTCATAGAATATATGCTACAGGATATTTAGTATGGTTATATCATGGTCACTACGCTTGGGAAATACAAACCATTGTTTGACTACGGGTGTGTGTGTTGGAGGTGAGGATGGGGCGACTGAATGATGATATCCTGTGATTGTGGTCCATTGTTCGTTATTGTGGCAGATAGTTTGGTTGGTTTGTTGTTTAACGCCGCACTCCGCAATATTCCAGCTATATGGCGGCGGTATGTAAATAATCGAATCTGGACCACACAATCCAGTGATCAACATCATGAGCATCGATCTACGAAATTGGGATACGATGACATGTGTCAACCAAGTCAGCGTGCCTGACCACCTGATCCTATACGACAAGCACGGGTAACTGAAGACCACTTCTAACCCGAATCTTTGTGGCAGTACTCTATTCTATAAATACAAATCCATTTGTGCTGATACAGTTTGATTGTGCCAAAATGACACACTGTGTTTGTTCACACATGGACGCTTTAAGACAAGATGGTAAAACACAACACTTTTTAATGTTGTGGTAGTTTACGGATATGGATACACAAATAGTTTCATTCACAAAGGACTGCTACAGCCTGATTGTGCCAAAATGACACACCGTGTCTTACATACGTGGATGCTTAACGACAATATAATCAGAAAACAATGCTATTGTGAAATGTTTTATAGCATTGTTGTAGTTCTACGTATATGAATACACGGTTTATATTAATTACTTCGCTTGATTGTGCCAAAATATCACACTGTGTTTGTCACACGTGGGTGCTTTACGACAATTTACTCAGAAAAAATATTGTTTTATACACTCGTATGCTCATGCCAATAATGGTTGTCACCCTCTTCAATTTTTTTTAGGGGGGGGGGGGGGGGAACCATTATTGGCATGAGTATATTTATCGGATTAGAACCCGTACATTTATACACACGAGTGTTTTGGAACAAACATTCTGAAGAGTAATATTCAGCAATGTTGAATGCAGAATCCACTTAGTGATGCTTCCAGGCCACAATGCCCGCCATTTGTATCTACGTGTTCTTGTCATATACATATCGCCTGTACGTTATACATGTGGTTTCTATGGAATCCTAGATGGGACATTGTCGCGTTGTCGTATTGTCGCCCTTACAAAAAACAAGCAAAAACTGGCAAAATTTACCTAAGTGCGATAATGCGACAACGCAACATTTTGGCTATTTGTCGTATTGTCACATTGTCGCCCTTTGGGTGAATAGAAAATTGTTAATTAAAATGTCTTATTGACGCGTTGTCGACAACGCAACAATGTCCCCTTCTAGGATTCCATACGTTTCCGAACGGAATCGCTCCCTAATTTGATATTTTATATGCACAATCAAGTAATTAGTGTCTCGTAGGCCAACTGGCCGTGTGCTGCTTTTAATGAATGAATAATATGTCTATGTATTTTGTACCACAGCATGTGGTATTTTAATCAAATACTTTTCTTCTTCTTTCTTCTTCTTCCCAATCAACGTAGCCAAACTAGATCTATCAGTGTAGTAAGTAGTATCTTTATATGAGCTTTTGATTGTTATAAATCAAACTGCTATTGTGATTAGTGGTTCATAAACACGTGAATAGTTGAAATTGTACAATCGACACTTCTGTTACCACAACCTTTGTGAATGTGGAGAGGGTTTTACGCTTGTATTTAGATAGGGGATACAAATTGTGAGATATCACGCACGCACGCACGCACGCACGCACGCACACACACACACACATACATACATACATATATACATACATACATAAGCTACAAAATGAATTTTGTCCGAGGGAAGTTCTTAAGAATGAAAATCATTTATCTTGACGTTTTTAAGCTACTTTGAAACCTCCCTTCAATGTATAACAGCGACTGTGTGTTCAGATATAGTTGAAATATATTTGGTTCATCATTTTTGTCCATGTAATGGATCGTTTGAAGACCTTGAAAGGCATTTAGAATTTGGTTTTGTCATTTAGAATTTGGATTATGACGTCACAATTATATCTTTAATTACTCGCCCGTGTAAGATAGTGTAATATATTTTTACGGCAGTCTGACAAACAATGGCATTAGACCTTACTTGACGCGAGGAAAGGTGACTCAAGTCATCACACTCTAGACAGTTTCTATCAATTTATGTTGGAGAGTAATAAACAGAATACTAAACTCGCTTCCGTGAAATACCATTTTTATTAAACTCGTGAATGATTTAGTATCAGATACTCGTTTAATAAAAATGGTATTACACGGAAGGTCGTTTAGTATCCTCTATGTATTCACCTGATGAAGGAGCAAGAATTAGCTCTGAAACGTCGTATAAAGAATAAAAAGAAGTTGTTATCCATAGAAAACGTGTCATGTTGTGTCGTTGATATGTATATGTGACGGGCGTGTGTGAGTGAAACGTATGTAATAATAGTAAACGGATTCACATTATAGCATGTCATCTTGTGGTACGACGTTTCGACGTTTTAATTGTTGCATACTGGGTATTACCAATATACAGTAGTACACCACTGCCGACGTTATTAGATCAAGAGTGAGTGAGTTTATTTTTACGCCGCTTTTAGCCATGTTCCCGCAACATAGCGGCGGGAGACACCAGAAATGGGTTTCACACATTGTACTTTATGTGGGGAATCGAACCTGGGTCTTTGGTGTGACTTATGGCCCTATATAAGATCGAACCTGGGTCTCTTTGGTCTCTCTCTCTCTCTCTCTCTCTCTCTCTCTCTCTCTCTCTCTCTCTCTCTCTCTCTCTCTCTCTCTCTCTCTCTCTCTCTCTCTCTCTCTCTCTCTCTCTCTCTCTCTCTCTCTCTCTCTCTCACACACACACACACGAGGATGTCACACTTTATATTGCCGTTTAGTGTTCCCGAGACCGGTTATGCTGTGTCATGTGATGTCACCCTAACATAACGTTATAACGAAGGAGGAAGTATGTCATATCGACATACCTACATGTAGCACAGTTTATGTACTCACAGTATATCGCCACCACTTATCTAGTAGATGACACATATACTCCTATACAAAAGAGACGCGGAGCTGAATTCAACAACAGTCCTGTTAGGGAGAGCTGCTCATACAGAGATATACAAAACTGTTAGTGTCGCTCTTTGAAAAATTAAACGGTCAAAGTCACTGAGTTACAAGGGTCAAGTACGGAGCGCTTCATTATTGTGTATGGTCAGTATGTATATAGAACCAATGACACTCTAACACACCCGAGACATGGACCCCGCATTAGCTGTCTGAGGATGTTAAGCTTGTTTCAAATCCAGCAACAAATCCGATCAAGATCGTCCCACACATTCAGATGGGTTCGTATCTGGTGATCCAGATGGCCACTGAAGAACAGGATCCCGATCCACAGAGCGTTCGTAGCGCTGCGACATTCGTAAGCCTATAATAAACTATATAGGACAGGTCGTAACGTTACGAAAACTTTGTGGATCGGGGCCCTGGAAAGTTACAGTGCTAGTTTCTGAATCGAGTATGGTCGGCATTGTGGAGTGGACAAACGACGTTACGTTGGTTCGTGAATGGAATAATCAGAAATTAATAACATATATTAAGTATCCTGGGATGTACCCACAGGTTGTTCTACCAGTGTATGTAAGTGAGTGACTTGGTTTTACGCCACCTTAGCAATATTCCAGCAATATATAGGCGGGGGACACCAGAAATGGGTTTCACACATTGTACCCATGTGGGGAATCGAACCCGGGTGTTCTGCGTGACGAGCGAAGTGTTAACCACTACGCTACCCCACCGACCCTCAGGTGTAAGGACCAAGTATGTCCATTTGTTTTTGAAATCGCAGTCTTTGCCTCGCAACATCCACGATTTAACCTCTTGGCATGAAGATACACCTTTGTTTGGGACTGAGAAAACAGTACTTCCTGTCTTTACCATCCATGAAGATTTGTGAAGTCGGGGATGTCGTTACAGTACAATGTCACGTAATGGTCTGAGACCTCAAATTACTGCTTCCCACAAAGGATTCCTCACTTAGTTTCTGTAGGGAGGTTCCACTCATTTACCTACCGATTGGGAGGTTCAGAAGATGCGGGGCCCGAGTAGTGTGTGAGTCTGGTGGTCTATGGCGCTCTGTGAAAGCGGCGGTGGTCTTGCCACTGATTTGGTGCCTTATGAGGAAAGAGCGTACAGATGATTACTTGCCTACCTTAAACGCCTAGCACATGCAAATAAATGACAGGTCTGAGTTCGACTCTCAATATGGTTGCCATCGTGAGACCAAACATTCATATTTAAACTATGTGTCACCATACTTATGGTGATGAGTTTTAAATATTCTTTGCAAACGTTTACTAACTAACAAACTTTCGCCATGCATAAACATGCTACGAAATGGGCATCGCAGGGCAAACATATATAGTTGACAAGGTTTGGGACCCGTGAAGATACGGGTTAGAATTGGTCCTTGGCAACTTTTCGATGCTTGTCGTAAGAGGCGACTAACGGGATCGGGTGGTCAGGCTCGCTGACTTGGTTGACACATGTCATCGTTAAACAACAACCCAACCAACCAGCCAAGGTTTGGATATATTCCATGTGTCAAGGCAATGACGTCAAATAAGTTTGGTAGGCCATTTTACAAATGCATAATGGGGAACATGAACAACCCTATATGCATGTGTTAACCCTGCACGACCAGTGCACTGAACCAGACATAAGTATTTGCATGATCCATCTCGTCCATAGTGTTCTAATCACAACTCTCGTATCACAAAATGATAGCATATGTAAGTGTTGCTCAATGTGTCTCATCACGATAACACAACTTCGTATCATTCCCTATCATCGATGTTTTTCTCAAATGGTCCTTGTGTATAACCTTTGGTCGCAGTGGGACGCGGCTAAATCAGATCCAACTGCTGAATGTCGCACATGCGGGTTCTCATCACTGCATTCCGTGAGGCTCCTTAGTACTACAATGTGAACCTTTACATGTTGTGAGTATATAACAGAAGGTATATATTCACACGTTGATCACTGCAAATTCTTCAAGTTTGTTCATTTTCCAAAGGTTACAGACCCATGCTTATTTTACTTATCACATCTGAACAATTTGCTGAATTTTCAGGTTTTTGTAGAATCACCTTACAAATTGATATAATAGCCACTGTGTTCAGAAGTACTCCGTGTCTTCTATATGAAATTAAAAACTTATATATCAGTCGATGTTGTACTTTTGACATCATCAAAATATACTGGACAAAATAAGTTAGGGATATTGGTATTTTTATGATTGATATTTATAATAAGAAAGTAAGATTCTTTATAGATAACAACTTCTTTTATTATATATGATGCGACGTTTCGATATGGATTCTTATACTTGTATATTATTATACCGTTGTCAAGCGTTTCGTTCCATGGATTCCTATCATATATAATAAAAGAAGTTGGTATCCATAAAGATTCTTTCTTATACCATTGCCAATCAAAACAGTATATGAATCCGTGTACCAATAAATGGATCATATATAATTTCAAAATTTACACATATCCCTAACTATTTTTGTCCAGTTATATGATAAAGCTTAACCTGTTCGATCCCCACGTTTTTGGGACGTTATTATGAAGTTTTTTGAAAGGCATGTAGAATTTGGACGAACATGAATGCATGACGCGTTTTATGGATAACAACTGCTCTTTTTATTCTTTATACGACGTTTCAGAGCTAATTCTTTCTCCTTCATCAGCGGGGCGGTGGGGTAGCCTAATGGTTAAAGCGTTGGCTCGTCACGCCGAAGACCCGGGTTCGAATCCCCACATGGGCACAATGTGTTAAGCCCATTTCTGGTGTCCCCCGCCGTGATGTTGCTGGAACATTGCTAAAAGCGGCGTAAAACCAAACTCAGTCAGTCAGTCAGTCCTTCATCAGCACTCACCTGAAACGTCGTGTAGAGAATAAAGAAATTGTTATCCATTAAACGTGTCATGTATTCATATTATGAACTTGAAAAGAGAGAAATCTCGTAAATATCAGTGTGGGGAAGTTATTTGACAATCCTCGTGCATTAATAATATAAGACCCGGTACCAAATGTTGCTGCTATGTTGCAAGTTCCACCTTTTTCAACAATAGCTCAGTGAAATATTCCACGGTATGTGTAAACCTGACGTGCTGGTCATAGACGGTTTCCGATTTTGGTGACACCCATGTTCACGGGTATGGGATTGGAACCCACGATCACGATTGCGCCTTAAACGTCCCGGAACGAAACGCTACCAAATATGCATTCACTTCTTCACGGTACTACAACTAGGGTGTAAAAGGCTGAATAAAGTTCAGCCTGTGACCCCTATACCTTTTGATGGTAAACAGCACACTGATGAACAATCTAGCTGAATAAGTCGGAGATGTTTTAACTGGACGAATTATAAGAGCACTTTATTTACATATTCTTTCTTTTTAGCATTATTCTGACGAACAAATATTTTTTTTCATGTGGTTGAGATGTTTGGTTGTTTACAGCAACAGAGATTACGTATTTGAGCCTCATAGTGTAGACCTTGTCCCTTCACCATGCGCGTTATCATTGTCTGCCTAAGTTGACCATTTGATTACATGATCATAAATGACGTGACCTACAAAAAGACATGCTATATTTAACTTGTCAAACCAGAGAGTCGTGGCAATCTACACTTTTCAGATGCATACACAAAGTAAGCCATCGTGACTACCAGTTGTTATTTTCGTGGAAGCAGCATTGGCTGAGTGGGTTAGATGGCTGCCTTTGTGAGCTAGCGATTAGGTGTCTGACTCTGAGAGTGTGAATAATTTCCTGAAAGTACTAGAATCTGTACTTTACAGCGAAAGTTCCGAATATATCAAACATGTTACAAGAGATATTCAGTCTAGATTATAGTCCGAAACAGATTAAATTTGCTGCACGGGGACATATCTGTAAATCAATGATTACATTATGTGCGAAAAGTAGAAGCATGTCCATTAACAAAATTTGCATAGAAAAGTATGTTTTTGGTGCCTGACGCCTAACAGGAGTATAGATTGGTTGGTTGGTTGGTTGTTTACGCCACACTCAGCAATATTCCAGCTATATGGCGGCGGTCTGTAAATAATCGAGTCTGGACCAGACAATCAAGTGATCAACAGCATGAGCATCGATCTGCGCAAATGGGATACGATGACTTGTGTCAACCAAGTCAGTGAGTCTGACCACCCGATCCCGTAAATCGCCTCTTACGACAAGCATGGGTTACTGAAGACCAATTCTAACCCGGATCTTTACGGTTGTGCTTATATTTACAGAAAAAAAAACGTTGAATAAATACATGGATTCTAGCGAGATATTCTAGTGGAATTCTGTTCATGCTTGTCGTAAGAGGCGACTAAAAAATATAACCGGATCGTTTGGTCAGCCTCGCTGCCTTGGCTGATGAATGTCATTGTATTTCATGTGCGTAGTTCGATGCTCATGATGTCAATCACTGGATTGTCTGGTCCAGACTCTACTTTTTACGGTCCCTGTCATAGCTGCAAAACTGCTGAGCGCTGCGTTAAACATTCAACAAGGAAGCAAATCGTTCACAATATCTGTGTATAACAACGTATTTTTCAATTTTGTAATTGCGATAATTGTTAGAGTAATGTGAACGCCAAGTGACATATCACTTCATTCATTTTCAATTTTTGTGAAATGTGAAAGCCTATCAATTCTTTTCAGAACAACCCTTACCTGTTGATGGGGCTTCGATGAATAGCAAAGTGAAGAAATTCAACTATGACTCTGTCGCAAACTTAAACTAAGAGAAACTACAGAGTACAACGCAGTAACCCTACGCCTTAGTACAACGCAGTCACCCTATGCCTTAGTACAACGCAGTCACCCAAGCCTTAGTACAACGCAGTCACCTAAGCCTTAGTACAACGTAGTCACCCTATGCCTTAGTACAACATAGTCACCCAAGCCTAAGTACAACGTGGTCACCCCACGCCTTAGCACAATGCAGTAATCCTATGCCTTAGTACAACGCAGTCACCCTACGCCTTAGTACAACGCAGTCACCCTACGCCTAAGTACAACGCAGTTACCCTACGCCTCGTTCACCAATGCAGCAATGATGTCTCACAGAACACAACAGCCACCACCAAACCCAAGAGTTGCTGATGTCCCAAGGAAGCGAGATTCAACAGTTGATATGACTAGAGTCTTTGTGCCTGTTGATATGGAATGCCTGAAATATCTATCTTTATACAAAGAGAATGAGCTTCAGAAAATTCAAAAGGACGAGAATGTGACGATATCTGACCGTGTAAATGGCTACGACGTGATAGGCCATACGATTGATGTTACGTGGGCAGCAAACAAGATGGGTCGTCTCGTTGATGAAGTGAAGTGCTCCACCTTCAGTTTTGTGACTGGTGTCGATGTAAGGAAATTTGCTGAAACTGCTGTAACCATTGGAAAAAGGTATCGCTGTCTTATTGGGTATAAGTCGAATGTGAACCCAGCATCGCGTCAACGATCACAATCTTCACTTCCTTTCACACAAGGTGAGTGAATGAGTTAATATTTTACGTCCAACTCTCATTATCATGCACATATACACAAGTTTATTTTAATTACAAATGAGTTTCTTACAAATACATATTCCAGTTTTAAACACTAGGTCAGTACTACCAAATGATGATATTTCTATACCGTACCTTTGTAGCTACTCTGTCATTACTTAACAACGACAAGCAATGAAAATGATATTTACAAATAACTACCGTTATAACGAACTCAAACAGACCAGTAATTTTAGTTCGTTATACCGGGGTTAGAATCAGTCTTCAGCAACCAATGTTTGTCATAAGAAGCGACTAACGGGACCGGGTGGTCAGGCTCGCTGACTTGGTTGACACATGTCACGTATCCCGACTGCGTAGATCGATGCTCATGCTGTGGATCACTGGATTGTCTAGTTCAGACTCGATTATTTATAGACCGCCGCAATATAGCTGGAATATTGCTGAGTGTAAGAACAACCAATTCAAATCGACTAAAATAAACAGCAACTGTCCGGGACTAAAAACCCAGTTTGCTATATCAGTCATTTCGTTATATTGGAAGTATTTGCTTGTTTCTTGCGCGAAGCCGCAGTGAGTTATATCAGTTCCCAGCTATATGACGGTAATCTGTAAATAATCTAGTGTATACCAGACAATCCAGTGATGAACATCGATCTATGCAGTTGTGATACGATGATATTGTGTCAATCAAGTCAGCAGGGTAACCACCCGATCCTGTTAGTCTCCTCTTACAAGCATGGGTTGCTAAATCTTCACGGATCTTCACGGGTTATAAATGCAGTGTACTGAAGATACACAGATATTAAGCTTATGATATTATATAGGCAGATAATCGGTTGGCCAGTTAACTGTTGCCTTAGATTTTTGAAGCAGTTGATACAGCCTATATTTTTTAATACGCTTGCGTTCAAGTTGTGCTCTGTTTAAAATATGGACTCGGGTATTGTGGCAGAAATGTAGCTCTGGTTATTTTACAAATTAATGCATTCCTGTTTTTTAAAATTTACTTACATCATAAAGATATTAAATACTAGCTATATAAGTTGAGATAGGTAATTGGGCATCTGTCCATGTATGTTTCCAGGACACCGAGGCGTTAAAGTTACCGTTGTCTTCAATAGGATAGAAAAACAAGAGGTAAGATGCTGATATTCACCTTGGAAAACAATGTTATGAACAAGTAATTTGATGTGTGTGTGTGTGTGTGTGTGTGCGCGCGCGTGTGTGCGAGCGAGCGTGTGTGTGTGTGTTGTTTGTTGCGTAAGCTATTACTGTTTCATTAGGAAAATGGTGGTTCCCGGGAAACGACAGTGTAAATCTTTCCTGTACACACAGAATCACACACGAGTGGACATGGGGCCCGTTTCACAAAGCGAACTTAGCGCTTCGACTGTCGTAGATCTATGTTACGAACACCTTAGCACTAAGATCGCATTGTTCAAGTGGCCCCTGAGTGAATGCGAAAGTCGTTGGGCGGGCGGGCGGTAGTGTGTTTAGTATAGCTCAACCTCCCTTTACATCCTGGCCCATGCATCGATACGAAGTATCTTTGCCGAATACACCCTCCCCCGTGGTAGTATTTAATTCCTCCATAAGGTTTAGTGGGATGCAATGACATGCAGCAATAAAGTCAACTCATTCGCTCCTGTAGGACGCTTCCTAAGACAAGCATGAATTGCTGAAGCACACTCCGGCCCAGTGATGACTTAGTATAAGATCAAATAGGTGGGAGAGTGTTGCTGTAGACAAACTGAAATCCATGTCATTATGGGCGGATTGAGTGGAACGGGTCTGAACGTCTGCTAAGATCTTACCTGGGAACATGCTCAACATATTCATCATTTTCTATTCTTGTAGGCTGATGTGATTGTTAATACAACCAACAGACAACTGAATCTGAGTTCTGGATCTGGTGAGTCCTATAGTCTGCTACAGATGGTTGGTTCTGACATACAGAAGGTTTTAAACCACATCTACCCTGACGGAATAGAGTACGGTCATTTGGCAGTCACTAGTTCTGGGAATCTTGGTACTTGTAGAAGGATCTACCACGGATGTCTTCCCTACTACAGAGGGTACACGGAAACGTTTTCCCTTTCAAAGTGTTATCAGGTAAATCTTTCAAAGTGTTATCAGGTAAATCTCTCAAAGTGTTATCAGGCAAATCTTTCAAAGTGTTTAACTGTAAAACCGTCTCAGAGCAATTTCATCTTTGATGAAGTTCATTCTTAAAATCTTTCAGTTTTAGTTTTATCTGTGTTAAGTAGCTAAAGGCTAAACACATAGAGGGAGTGAATTTAGTTTTACGCCGAATTTAGCAATATTCCATCAGTATCACATCAGAAATGGGCGTGAACTCGCAGACGTAATATAGATCTGACAGTATTCAATATCATGTTCAGAAACACAAATTATCCATAAGACAACTCCAAATGTCAAATACATGTAGATGAAAATGTAAAGCAGAACAGTCCACATTCTCACAATAGAATAGTTCAGAGACACAAATTATCTTGACGAACATAAATATAACCGTTAGTTAATATGGAGTTCCTTCTCCACAGTGTCTGGTGTCTCTGGTGTTCCGATGCCTCATCCAGGCAAGCAAGGATGGGTTTGAGACAATTGCACTGCCAGCGTTCGGTACAGGGGCCCTCCGGTATCCTACCAAGAACGTAATACAACTGATGTATCATGCCATTGATCTGTTCGCCAAACACAACACACAGACATCCCTGAAGAAAATTTTAATTGTTGCCGCCTTTGAGTCAAGGCTAGAAGTCAAACAGGTACCACTAACATGATACAGTTATTCTACAAGTTCTTAATATCAGATTATGTACAACACACACACACACACACACACACACACACACACACACACACACACACACACACACACACACACAACACACACACACACACACACACACACACACAAACACACACACATATACATATAACACACACACACACACATATATATATATATATATTGATAAATAAAAACAGAATGCCTTTTTCTCCAACCGCTGTAACCGCTACAATCTCCCTGAAGAGTAAAGAACGAAACATGTTGGAGAAAAAGGCATTCTGTTTTTATTTATCTATGCAATATTTATGACTGAACACCTGTACTATTTTGGACATTTTGTGCGTATATATATATATATATATATATACGCACATATATATATATATATATATATCTTATCTTCATGTAAAATACTTTAATTTCATTGGTCAATGACGGTTTAACAAGTTTCCGTGTCAACCTCCAAGGAGGGTGACAACTGGAAAAAATATTACCCGCTGCCACGGTAACCGCCAAGCTCTCCGCCGATAAGCTGAAGCGCTAACATTCGTATGACGTCATACTATGACGTAATCCGTGCCCGGAGTTCGAAAACCGTTCGATCAGCTGTTTTTGTGTTCACTTTGTACAGATTTATTTCACTTTCACTGCTTTATTTAAGCATATACATTGAGTGGTTTGCACACCCAGCTTAAACATAATTAACAATTTTTATAGTAGTTTTATGCTTGTCAGAATATGTTTCACTGATGTTAAAAATCCAGTCGAGAGGCAGACGCCATTTTGTTTGCATGTCGTATAGTCGGTAGCGATCTTTGACATAAAATAAAATGCTATTTTGTACATTTAACATGGCGATAAGATAATACGGTGTATGCTTCTCCCTCGGGTAATACGATCTGATGTACGCCTCTTTGTAGCAGTGTCATCCCTCGCCTACCGCCTATATGTGTGTGTGTGTGTGTGTGTGTGTGTGTGTGTGTGTGTGTGTGTGTGTGTGTGTGTGTGTGTGTGTGTGTGTGTGTGTGTGTGTGTGTGTGTGTGTGTGTGTGTGTGTAAAAATAATCTACAAATTGATTGGGAAAAGTGTGGCTGCGTAGGTTCATAGTTAGACTGTGCTTGAAATAGTTTCACTGTTTGCGTTTCATTTTTCCCGTAGCTGTTTCTAGCTTATCGAATCACCCACAAACTCAAGACAAGATGGCTTGAAGCACCCCGTGAAGGTGAGTAATAGATTTTCTACTGTGTAAAACACAGTCAAGTAGCCTTGACTTAAAGGGCGGTAACTATGGCTTCGCGTTTAAGATGTTATCAGAACCTTTACACTATAGTGTCAGGCAACAAACACTTTTATGCTAAATTTGTGAATGCTGCAAACCACTGTTTGAGTAGGACATGCCTACCCCCTTCAAAACACACCCTGACATCAGTGCCCCATTCATATATTATCCACCACTATTTCTCAAAAATTTCCAGTGGTATTAGATAATCGAGACATTTTGTATTTACTATTTTCAGACATACGTCGATTCTTTTACCGCCTCTTTACGCCGAGAACAGAGAGGATTGGTATTTTACCCGAATTCTTAGGAAGAGGTATGGTATTTGATACAGTTTTCCCATAAATTATTCAGAAAATCTTTGTTTCCTAATATTGATAATTGAAAATTGATTTTGAAAGGGATGTGACGAATGCAAAAGAGTTAGCTGGTAGACATGACATTTCTCTGTCTACAATATACAGAATTTTGAAAAATATTGTCAGGAGTTAGGATTGAGCACAAGACGCCAAGGAAGTAGGCTACTACGGATCGCCGGCGACTTGGTCAGATTGTAAGTAGGGGAAAACTGAAAAGCGTTGAGCATATCAGAAATGAGATGATGAACAGAGGAAGTCCCCAAGTACGTAATGTACCCGTAGACAAGAATTGCAAAGACTTACCTTGGTGAAAAAGCGCGGAATTCCCTCACCATTGTGAAAGATTCACAAAAAGAAAGGTGTAGTGCTCACGAAAATCAAAATTGGGATAGTGTTTTCTTTTTCTGATGAAAGTTCTGTCGGGTGATGAAAGTTCTGACTGGCTTTTTCCGAACTGTGTGAAAATTTGGACAAAAGAAACGACCGTGAAACCTATCTACCAACGTCCAAAACATAGCCCGAAATTTCATATGAGGGGTGACATATCATCACGTGGAGTGACGCCGTTGTGTATTTTCACTGGAAATTTTACGAAAGAAGGATATGTTGACATCCTCTATGATCACCTCCTTCCAATGGCCCTAACACTGTATGAAGATAATTGGATTTTCCAGCATGATAGCGACCCAAAACACACTGCGGGCTACACAAAAAAGTGGTTGTCGGATGAAAATGTTCAAGTTTTAGACTGGCCCCGCTACAGCCCAGATCTTAACCCTATTGAGAATGTGTGGGGACTAGTGAATGACAGAACAAACCAAAAAGGACTTTGAAATATTGAGTATATGAAGAAAGAAGTGGTCGAATATTGGGATACGCTGTCACACGATTACCTACATACTTTGCTCGGTAGCCATATTCAGTCGTGTATTGCTAGGCAAGGAGGTCTCACAATGTACTGAAAAGACACTTTGACTGTATGAGAATCATATCTCAACATATTCATTTAAGTAAAAAAATAGTTGATATACCTGTATTAGATATTTGCCGAAAGAACGTTCTCAGAAATACTGGGAATATTATAATGAATAGTGAGTAATATTTCAGTCAATACTGTAAATGTGTGTATGTCTGTTTTGCTTATTGTCGCATCGACCAAAAGATATATCTACGTTAATCTATTACTAAAATCTGCAATAATCTTATGTAGCACATGTAGTACATATCAGTACGAATATAAGTTTAGAACTGTTTCTTTTATGCACCCATGGTATATGTATAAATGTCGTATTCTTAATAGACATTCATATTAACTCAACTTGACATCATTTACACGGCGCTCTGTTCCAGAATCTTTGTGCAAAGCCCCAAAATTCTATATGAAAACATATCCCATATAGTTTGGGACGTTTTGTCTTTAGAGGTACGGAGACCTGGCCAGACCAGTTGCGAGTTGAGGGTCATGATTGGGCACACACTTGTCCAGATCATTAATGGGAGCATCAATGAAGTGTGTAACGCCACGCAGACTGCGCTCCTACTGTGGAGAGTGAAGGACACGGGGAGTATGTAGCCATGGTACCTTCTCCATTTAAAAAGTAAAATTAGTGACAGTAAAATACTTTATGAATGATAACTTCTTTATTCTGATACGATCTGTGCAGGTGTAGATCCTTATGCCTTCATCAAGCGAGAGTATTCATAAAAGGGATTAAGCCAAAACAAACTATAATAAATACTCATCACCCCTTGGAACCTTAGACATTAATCCATCAAATAGATACTCTTGAGTCGAAATGTCTTAACAGATGGCCACTCATTCTGTGGCACAAGATTGAGTCAACAATTCAAGTGTGTTTGTTGGTTTGTGTTATCGCCACAATCAGCAACACTCTAGCTGTATGGTCTGTAAATAATCGAGTCTGGACCTGACAATCCAGTGCTCAACATCATCGATCTACACAACTACGATGACATGTGTCAACCAAGTCACCGAGCCTGACCATCCGATCCCGTTATTCGCCTTTTACGACAAGCCTGGTTGCTTAAGACTAATTCTTACCCAGATCTTCACAGGTCTAAGAATGACATAGACTATCATTGTTCAGACTATCCAAACTCTTAATTTCCAGCATTTCGCAGTAAGATGGCGGGACGTGTGACGGATATTACTACAACTACACACAAAAGGTGCATTTCAGTCAACTATTCTGACGTTAGCGAGGCTGCAATGGTAACGGCATTGGGGACAGGGTTACGTCTAGCAGCCGAGAAGGAGTGGTATCATGTGACTGTACCGCTAGCAGCTACAGGTATCGTGACGTTAAATTATAATAATAATAGTAATCTTCGCTATGGCTGTGGCTTTGACTCCGAGGTCCACCCATGGTACGACCCTGAAAATGTCCAGGGCTTCATGGAAAATGATGCTTTCAAGCTTCTGTGGAATAGGCCCTTATACAGCCTCAGAAGAATTCCACCCAACAGACCCGATCTTGTCCTTTTTGATAGAGCTAATTAATATATTTATATCATTGAATTTTCTGTCACTTCTGACAACAATGTGATTGGCAAGATTCAGGAAAAGCATGCTATTGTAACTATGCGGACCTCGCCTTTGAAATGTCTCGCTTGCGTCCCAAGTACACTGTCGTCAGATTCACCATTGTTCTCGGTGCTCTTGGTTTGGTACCTCCTGATCTCTTGATCAAGAAAAACTTCGGGCCGGTACACATCTTGCTTAAAGAAAATCTGGAGCTCAGAGCTAAATGCTCGAAACAAGGTCAAAGCCACTAATACTTTTGCTGTGCCAGTCCTCTCCTATTCCTTTGGAGTAGTTGACTGGACGAAACAAGACATCCAGAGTCTTGACCGCCTGACCAGAAGGATCATGTCTGATAACAGAGCCCACCACCCTCGTTCCTCTCTTAACCGTTTATATATGCCAGTCAATTCTGGAGGTCGCGGTTTGATTAATGTGGAGGCTCTTCATGACAGAATTTTATTGTGTACTTTGGCACATATTTATTTGTCGGATGATCCTTTGGTGATGCATGTCAAGACTCATGATGAAAGCAAGGAATTCCACAGCTATTTTAAGCGTGCCAAGGTTGTTGGACAGAATCTGAAATTTGAGGTTGATTTTGTTATGGCGATGTACGGCTGGACGGTACAGCGATGGGAGTAAACCAGGTGAAGTCCTTCACCAAGTCTGCCCAGAGTCGGTGTCCTCAGGCTCCCCATTGTTCTCGGTGCCCTAGGTTTGGTACCTCCTGATCTCTTGGCGAAGATCAAGAGAGTGCCCGGGTTCTCCACCGGGAGCACAGCCCTTCTGACCCTCTGGGTAATGCAGAAGGCTGCAGTGTTGGGGAGTCTACATATTCTCCGGAAGGTTCTTGGTGGGTTCAACTAGGCAGTGTTTCCGGGGAGAAGTCCCATTCGCTCTCTGGGCTGCGTGTAGAGGGGGCAAGGGCCCTGAGCTAATGATGAGCCTTACCAGCCTGACTGTGCCAGGATAACCCGAACCCCCTCTGCTGCATTTTCATCTTAATCTGTAAAACATAATTAATAATAGTTTTTGATCTGTCAACAGAATATGCTCTTTGTTAGCCTCTTTGTTTTGATTCAGACATCGTCTCACCTGATCAAACAACCGCCGCCATTGTCTCTACCTTAGAGCGTCTATCTTGCGTGTATGTGGTGACAATCGCCGTTCCCAATGCCAACTACTACATCGATTTAGTAACTCGGATAGCAAATCATGGCATCGTACAGAAGCCTCCAGATGTGACCAACAGTCTAGCTGGTAGGTCCTCGTTACTGAATACTTCCCACTTTGGCTACTATCGATGTCGCTCCAGTTATCTCCTGTCTACACCAACCATATTGTATCCTGCAAATCTTCCTTTTGTTTCAACCCGTGAAGATCCGGGTTAGAATTGATCTTGGGTAACCCATGCTTGTCGTAAGAGGCGTCTAACGGGATCGGGTGGTCAGGCTCGCCGACTGGGTTGACACATCTGATCGTATCCCAATTGCGTAGATCGATGTTCATGCTGTTGATCCCTGGATTGTCTGGTCCAGACTCAATTATTTACAGACCGCCGCCATATAGCGGGGATATTGCTGAGAGCGGCGTAAAACTAAAAGCACTCACGCACTCTTTCTGTTTCAGGCTCTCAAACAAACCTCTCCCGTCAACGCTCTGGCAGCCTTGAAGCGATGCATACCACAGCGGGTGATGCCGTTATGGTCGTCACTTCAGAATCGGAGGAGACAAACAGGAACGCTGCCAGTGACGTTGAGAGGGAGCTTCACGTGCAGTTGCAACCTTTTCTGCACTTCCACACAAGCCTGACCAGGGAATAATCAAGAACAGTCTAGTGGCCGATATGAGGCTGCAGGTCCGCGGCAAAAGAGAATAATAATTGCCATATGAATTGTAACATTTCCCATTCCGCTAAGAATTTACTAAAATCAGAATATTAGAAAAACCCAATTTGGGCCAATGTCCAAATATCTTTTTCCAAATCTGTGAGCCAAAGACACTTGAATTGAAATCATAGACACTCCTTATTGGGTGTCTTCAGTTTACCCTGGCATAAAGTAGGGAAACCTGTCCGTCTTCAGTTTACCCTTGCATACAATAGGGAAACCTGTATGTCTCAGGTTTACCCTTGCATACAGTAGGGAAACCTGTCTGTCTCAGGTTTACCCTTGCATACAATAGGGAAACCTGTATGTCTCACGTTTACCCTTGCATACAGTAGGGAAACCTGTCTGTCTCAAGTTTACCCTTGCATACAGAAGGGAAACCTGTATGTCTCAGGTTTACCCTTGCATACAGTAGGGAAACCTGTCTGTCTTCAGTTTACCCTTGCATACAGAAGGGAAACCTGTCTGTCTCAGGTTTACCCTTGCATACAGTAGGGAAACCTGTCCGTCTTCAGTTTACCCTGGCATACAGTAGGGAAACCTGTCTGTCTCAAGTTTACCCTTGCATACAGTAGGGAAACCTGTCTGTCTCAAGTTTACCCTTGCATACAGAAGGGAAACCTGTATGTCTCACGTTTACTCTTGCATACAGTAGGGAAACCTGTCTGTCTCAAGTTTACCCTTGCATACAGAAGGGAAACCTGTATGTCTCACGTTTACCCTTGCATACAGTAGGGAAACCTGTCTGTCTCACGTTTACCCATGCATACAGTTGGGAAACCTGCATGTATCACGTTTACCCTTGCATACAGTAGGGAACCCTTTATGTCTCAAGTTACCCTTGCAGACAGTTGGGAAACCTGTATGTCTCAAGTTAACCCTTGCATGCATAAGGGGGACCAGTCTGTCTTCAGTTTACCCTTACATACTGTGGGGAAACCTGTATGTCTCAGGTTTACCCTTGCATACAGTAGTGAAATCAGTTTACCTTGCAGACATTAGGGGGACCTGTTTATCTCAAGTTTACCCTTGCATACATTTGGGAAACCTGTATGTCTCAAGTTTATCCTTGGAGACAATAGAGACATATGCCTGTGTTCAGTTTACCCTTGCAAAGGGTAGGGGAAGCCAAGTTGGCGAAAGATCTGTATCCAGACTTTTTCAGATTGTTCTTTGGAACTTCCAGTAGTTGATGGTCGGCAGATCGAAGTGACCTCAATAGTACATATTTGTGAATGAGATCGTTCAAATATGGAGGAGCTGACTGATAATAGCATTTGTAGAAAAGTGTCAAAATTTTGAATTGAACTCTTACTTGCACAGGAAGCCAATGCAGTGATATAAGGAATGGCGTAATGTGTGAAGATTCTTAGTCTGGTGACTATACGTGCAGCAGTATTTTGTACACGCTGAAGTCTGGCAAACTGTACCTGGGAGACATTTCCGAGCAAACTGTTGCAATAATCCAATCTGGAAAACACAAGTGTCCGTGCAAGCACATGAGAAGAGCTGTGGTGAGAAGATGTCTTACTGATCCTGTGTTGCGTAAGTGAAAGTAGCATGTTCTGCACAAGTTAGAAATGTGGTAGAGAGATGGCTTTCCAGTACAATGCCCAGATTTCTCACAATTTCAGACAGTGGTATTTCAGACTGGACAATACGCACTGTGGTCACTCCAGCCGCCAAACATTTTGACTGTGTTCCAGTGAAAAGAGCTTCAGTCTTGTTGTCATTCAGCTGTAACTTACGTTCTGTCATCCAAGATTTGATGTTATCTGTACACTGTTGTAGATCCGAGAGGGCTTTTCACTAGTGTCCCGAGGTAGGAAGGCTTTGGTAGCCTGAGTGTCATCTGCATAGCTGTGGTGACTGAAGTCAGTAGAAGCGATAAACTTTGCTAAATCAGAAGTGAAGAGCGTAAACAGAATAGGGTCCAAAACAGATCCTTGTGGGACCCCGTACTTCACTGCTGTTGCTTCAGAACTAGAGCCTCCGATGCCAACTGTCTGTACCCGATCTGTCAACGAAAGTCTCTGATTTCCTCGGGATCAACGAAAGTCTCTGATGATCAATGGTATCAAAGGCTAATAATACTGATAAATCAACCTTTCCATATCAACTGATGTCAAGAGGTCATTCAGAACATAAAGCAGAGCAGTTTCAGTTGAATGTTCTGGTCCGTAAGCCGACTGATATTTGTCTAACAAGTCATATTCAGCAAGATGAGACGAAAGTCTGGACTTCACAGCCCGGTCCATGCCGATACCGTGGAAAGGAACGATAGGTTTGAAACGGGTCTATGATTTCCCAGTTTAGAAGTATGTAAGTCTTGTTTCTTGATTTAGAGGTTTCGGAATCGACGGAACCCCACCTAAAGATAAGCTCCGATTTACTATCTCATCTGATGACAGGAAGCAAAATGCCAACATAATTGCACAGAATCCTTCATGGTATTTACCCTTGAAGACAATATGGAAACCTGCCTGTCTCGAGTTTACCCTTGCAGACAGTAGAGACATCTGCATTTCTTCAGTTTGCCCACTGCAGACTGTTGAGAAACTTGGCTAGCTTCAGTTTACAGACAGGGGCTCAGAGAGCAAGTTGAGCTGCATGTTGTGTGGTTTGATGAGAACGTTCCATAAATGATCGAGTCCGGACAATCCAGTGATTGATACGATGACAAGCCTGACCACGCGATCCCTTCATCTCCTCTTACGACAAGCATTGGTTGCTTGGGATCTTCAGTGGCAGTGAGTTTCTGACGAATAGGTTTTGTTATTGATGACATAATGATTACACTTCTTTTGAAAGGACAGACAGGGAGCTATCACACCTACAGCTATGTGTCACAAAGACAATATCAGATGTGTTTGGAAAAGTGGCCTATACGGATGATTGAGTGAGTTTTAGTTTTACGCCACACTCAGCAATATTCCAGCTGTATGGCGGCGGTCTGTAAATAATCGAGTTTGGACCAGACAATTAAGTGATCAACAGCATGAACATCAATCTACGCAGTTGGGATACGAAGAGATGTGTCAACCAGGTCAGCAAGCCTGACCACCCGATCCTAGTTGCCTCTTACGACAAGCATGGGTTGCTGAAGACCAATTCTAACCCGGATCTTCAAAAAAAAAAAAAAAAATTCTCTCAATAAACCATGCAAGCCGAGCGAGAAGATGCTAAATCTTCTGGTCACCTTGCACGTATTGTAGCGATATATTATGATGTGAAGCGCATTTTTTATATTGTGTTAAGGTTTCATTCATCATTCTTGACGCGTCAGTAGAATCAAATTACTTCCAATCACAACAATACTTGTACTGTATTGTTCATTACAGTTTTTGCGCATTTACTTGGAGAATAAACGATGTGTCTTGCTTTAGTGCTAGAGTTACATCGGTTAATCCCAATCATATAATCATATAATAGTTGTGATCCTTATTGGATTATTGGTGCATATTGGAAATTTACACTTAAACGTGCAAGTGTGTTGCTGTACAGGGTGTGTGGTCCTGTGCATAGAGCCCAGGTCACAGATCAGTTGAAATTAAGCAACGTTGGGCGCGGAGAGTCCTTGGATGGGTGACCGTATGTGACAGTCTGACTCCTGAGAGTTTCTAGGACTTCAGTCTTGTCCCACAACGAAGCACATAATAATAATAAATAATAATGTGTCCATTTATATAGCGCCAAACTCCACACTAGGTATGCTCATAGCGCTAACAATCAAGGCACAGCACATTATTACCCCGGATAATCCAAGCTGCCTGTTAGGCGCTAGAAGGTTATAGTCATATGACTTTTTTCCACCGGGTACCCATTTTCCTGCTGGGTGAACAGAGACAATACTGTGATACATGTGGTCTCACCTTAGGCAAGTGAGTTTGTTCAAAATTGCCTCTGTTCACCCAGCAGAAAATGGGTACCCGTTGAGAGATCCATGTGACTATCAACCTTCTAGCGCCTCAGAGGCATCTTGGGTTATCCGGGGTATGAATAATCAGATTGATCATGTAGACGTTGAAAATAGATTTGGTTTTCCCAGTTATCAATGAAAGGAATGTACTTTCGGTTTAGGCGCCAGCTATAATAAGCCCAGTACATTTCTCGGCTGTAGTCTGTGGTAACTACATAGGCGTATGTCGTCTCCGCCATTGCTGTTGTGAAACATAATAGTATTCAGCTATAATCAGTGACACCAGTCTACACTGTGAGTAGTTAGGGTATTTCTACCTTGCTTATATCTCTCTTGAAGCGATAATGTTTACTGTTGTTCGTTTTCGCACGTAACGTCCTGTTTACAAAATAACAATACAGACATTAGAATATACCAATCCCTCCTCAGTTACCTCCCCTGGCCGATTCCTGAGGAATTGGAAACAAATCGATTGTAATAGCATAGCAATATTCGCATAATGCGCATTAAAAATACCGTATCCCACGAACGAATTCAGGTGAACGAACAGGTAAAAACTGTCATGACCATATATTCACCCCTTTAATGTTTCATGCCAGGTAATTGAATGCAAACAAACATTGGAACATCAAGTTTGATCGTTGACTGCTAAGTGGGACACGGTAAGGTGTAACTGATACTGTTTGCAGTTGAAATTCACTGTATCACCGGATCTGGAAACTTGTTGACAGGATAAACGGATCAGTTTGTGCTGTAAACAATTCGTTTCATGTAAATGCCCTTCAGTAGGTGAATCTACGAGATATGTTTAGTCCGGATGTACGGGGTCCACTGTGAGGACACATATCGTCTAAAGGTCGATATGGATATTATTTACACAAACACTTTCCACCAACTTGAACACTATTGTATACAGAGTTTATCAATAATTTTATGTAGTTTTGGCGATGGATATTAATTACATTTCTATAAGGGTTGTTATGTAATAGTGAGGCTTTTGTCGTCGACCACATACTCGTTATAACGCTGTTTGCGTGTCAATCACTCACTGACGTTCAATGTGCCAGAAAGAAGACGTTGACTTGTTGTTTAACGCCGCACCCAGCAATATTCCAGCTATATGACGGCGGTCTGCAAATAATCGAGTCTGGACCAGTCAATCCAGTGATCAACAGCATGAGCATCGTTCTACGCAATTGGGATACGATGACATGTGTCAACCAAGTCAGCGAACCTGGCCACCCAGACCCGTTAGTCGTCTCTTACGATAAGCATGGGTTACTGAAGGCACATTCTAACCCGGATCTTCACGGGCCAAGTAAGAATACCTTCTGTCAACACATTTGATCTGTCAACCTTGTACACCGCTATCCCACATTACAAACGCAAAGGAAGACTTCATTACTTAATCCATGGTGCATTTGGGAATACAATGAGCTTAGACATTCTTACAAATATATCTTCAAAATGTTATCTGAAGTTTACTGAGAAAACAATGTGTGAAATACCGGACTTCCTCATCAATAACATCGACGAACAATTTGGGTAAAACATTTGGACTAGATGTTGGCATCGCCATGGGCACGAACTATACTCCCCTCCTGGCGGATGTGTTTCTTTATGCATATGAATCAGAATTTCTGTTTGGACATTCAAAATTAAAACAAAGCAATCTGGCCAGGATGTTTAACATAAGTGTCAGGTATATCGATTATTTAATATCGTTCAATAACAATCACATTCCCAGTTCCCTTCTACTGATTTTCAAACCTGAACCTGAAATTAAGGAGACAAGTCAGACGGCCTCATATTTCATACTTAGATATATGCATACAGAGTGAGTGAGTGAGTTTAGTTTTACGCCGATTTTAGCAATATTCCAGCATTATCATAGCGGGGACACCAGCGGGGGCTTCACACATTGTACCCATGCGGGGAATCGAACCCGGGCCTTCGGCGTGACGAGCGAACGTTTTAACCACTAGGCTACCCCATCACCTCTCGGGATAATAGGCTGATCAGTTGACCTGTTGCATTTGATGTTTGTGGTAGATAAAATATGTCACTAAGCTACCCCACCGCCCCAGATCTATGCATAAAGATTAATTAAGTGTGGCGAAACATCTCCACAAGGCTGAATTTCAAAAGGGATGATTTCAACTTTCCAATGCTCAACTTTTCTTTCAAGTCCAGGAATAGCTCAACAGTTCCAGCCTTTGGTGTTTACATTTCACAAATCTGAGGTCCAATTGAGCATTCTCATTGTGCAAATATTCAAAGAGCGTTGTTGAAGTCTTTCGAATGAGGCCACAACACTGAAGGCCTCAGTAAAGCTTTTGAAAGTCTTATGGTAGACATGTGGATGAAATTTCAAAATGTTGACGCCTCTAAATGTTCATTATTTTGACTTCCACCATACATTCCCGATTATATTTCAAGTGAACAATTCACTGGCCTTTGCATGTGTTTATCACGGATACCACTGGTGGGGCAGGATACGCTCACCTATTCGCGATCGTTTGATAGCGATTCATAAACACATGCTCATGATATCTGTTGCTTTTATGGCGTTGATAACGTTACACAGGTATTCAGTTCGAGGTACCCGATGATGTATTCGTACCATTAACTCGTTTTACAGGATTACAGTTCTTAAGTAAGGTGGTGAAGTCTCGAAAAGTGGCAGAGTTCATTATTTCGATATGGGTATTTGTCCTGTAATGAGCAGTTTAACTACTGTTTCCGTGTAAACTTTTATACGGTAAAACTGAACCGATGCTAGGAGACAAACTGTTTAGAAAGCTTATTTCTTATGCCACAGGGCCGCTTTTGAATGCCCCGTATGGTACAACGTTTAAAGGAAGGTCGGGGGTTCGATCCCAGACCACGTCATACCAAAAGACGTTAAAATATGGTACTTGTTGGTCCCTGCCTGGCGCTCGGCATTAATGGGTACAACAAGGACTGGTAGGCTCGGAGTCAGTATAATGTGTCAGAGTGGGGTATTCATGCTTCACTGCGGCATGGTATCTCAATGGGCTAGCACTATAAAACCAGCTTAAGTCTGGGCTAGTACAAGCAGCCGCACATACACCTACACATGCATGCACGTCGTCATGTGAGCGAAATATTCTCAAGCACGACGTTAAACCTAATTTCACCTCACCTCACCTTACAACGTTTAAACTTCATTTCTGGTGTTACTCGTCGTGCTGGAATAGCGGTTAAAAGCGGTTTTGTAGCCTAGTGGTTAAAATGTTCGCTCGTCACGCCGAGGACCCGGGTTCGATTGGGTCAATGTGTGAAGCCCATTTCTGGTGTCCCGCGCCGCGATATTGCTGGAATCTTGCTAAAAGCGGCATAAAACCATACTCACTGTCATTTATTATCCAGTAGCATATACATACCATACTCATTTATTATGATGTTACAAATTACTTGATAATTGACACTCGAAAGACACATGTATATTTTCAAGTTTTGTTTCCATGAGAATAATTAAGGGAAAATTACTATGAGTGAATGAAAACATATTTGTTTTCAAGAAGAATGCTCGTTTTCCTCCCGATTTTAGTACTTGCGTAATGTTAAAAAATAAATAAATATTTGAAATGTTTTTGTTACAAGATCAATGTGAATTTTATTAGGTGAGATGAGGTGAAATTGGGTTTTACGTCGTGCTTGAGAATATTTCGCTCATATGACGACGTGCATGCGTGTGTATGTGTATGTGTGGCTTCTTGTACTAGCCCAGACTTAAGCTGGTTTTATAGTGCTAGCCCACTGAGATACCATACCGCAGTGAAGCATGAATACCCCACTCTGACACATTATACTGACTCCGAGCCGACCAGTCCTTGTTGTACCCATTAATGCCGAGCGCTAGGCAGGGACCAACAAGTACCATATTTTAACGTCGTTTGGTATGACGCGGTCTGAGATCGAACCCGCGACCTTCCGCTCTCCTGAACTTTACGAAGGTAAATGGGAGAAAGTGTTTCATGATACATGTTACTCAGCTTTTAGACAAGTAAACTACATACATTATACAACTCATGCAACTCGTATGTTGAAAGTATAGCTCAACCCATAAGTCAGGCAAGAAATCTAAGAGTGATCACTGATTGAACAAATCTGTGTGGCTGAGAAGGTCGCCAACTGGTAGTGAGAGGCAATATCATCGATCATTTCATCACACTCGTTGACGTGGTTGACAGTGCGGATCTTTGTGTATTTACCAGCTGGTGTCATTTCACTGGATTGTCTGGTCCAGACTCGATTATTTAGTGACCGCCACCATATATACTCATGCCAATAATGGTTGTCACCCTTCCCACCCCAACCCCACCCCCACTTCACACCCCACCCCAAACCCCTCCAATTAAAAAAATTGAAGGGGGTGACAACCATTATTGGCATGAGTATAGTGCGGCTTTAAACAACCCACAAAGAAAAAAACAACCAACCATATGGTTGAACACAGAGATTTTTTCTGGGTTACATCTTCTTTATTCTCGAGTACAACGTTTCAGGGCTTGTTCTGGCCCCATCATCAGGTTACTGCGTGTTAAGCTACAAACTGAATACTTAATGTTATTGATTCATTATCGTGTAAACGTTTATAGGCATAATATCTAAATATCGGATCATAGAGCATGTGTCCTTTGTAATATGCTGCCGAAACGCCCTAAATCTCGAATAAGAATCATTCCTGCATATTTTGTTGTTTGATTTTCAACAAATGTGTCACATGAAGATCCGGGTTAAACTTGATCTACAGTAGCCCATGCTTGTCGTAAGAGGCGACTAACGGGATCGGGTGGACCAGATTGTCTGGTCCACACTCGATTATTTATAGACCATATAGCTGGAATATTGCTGAGTGCGGCATAAAACTAAACTCACTCACTTAACGACATATGTCTTATGTAACAGGCGACTAAAGGGAACGGGTTGTACGGGGTCATATCTCAGATGGTTGTAACAGTGCTCAAAAATCGTACGATGTCAATCACTGGATTGTCTGGTCCAGATTCGATTATTTACGGACCGCTATCACATTGTTGTGTCCGGCGTTTAACACTAAAGAACTCCTTTGTACGTGCATGATTCTGCCTTGGCTTTTTGTAGAAGTTTTGGCATGTAGAAGTTTTGGGAGATAACCTGCTATGCCATTGGTGCTTCTGTTGCAGGCGGCACGATGTCTTCTGGACGCTTCCTCAGCTTGGGCAGAAATCCCGTGAAACAGATGCAAGAATTTCTCGAAGATGACAGCAGCAGCTTCGTCGTTATCACTGAAGAAGGAGGTAAGGTCCATTGGGGATACTGCCGAATACCCCGCTGTCTTGTTCTCGTGAAATTTAAAAATTGTTTTAAATAAATGTAATGTAATTATTATTAATATCCAGGATGCATCACAAACGTCTTTTGCATTGTCGTTTTCAAGGGCGGTTGGGTAGCCTAGTGTTTGAAGCGTTCGCTTGTCACACCGAAGACCCGGGTTCGATTCAACACATGGGTACCATGTGTGAAGCCGTTTCTGGTGTCCCCCGCCTTGATAATGCTGGAATATTGCTACAACCGGTGCTAAACCATACTCACTCACTCACTCAGTTGTCATTTTTATTCATGAAGTTATTTATATCTCAACAGAAACGAGTGACCCTCCCAGCATCAACGATCCACATACTCATCCTATACCACTGTCACGCATCCAGTTGCAGTACATGAAGAGCAAGCCAGCGGTGGAACAAATTGTGTCCCACAAATTGAATGATAAAGGCTTCAGATGCAGGTTTGACTTCGACGCATCTACTGTTACCATAGAGACAAGTGGATCAAAGGATGAAGATCAGGCTCTACAAATGATCAAGGACAGCATCGTGGAGATGGACTTCTCCACCAAAGAGATCCCACTGATGAAGGAGGGTGGAGTTGAAGCCTTACCGACAGACGGGCCAGGGGATACAGAAGTTCTCGTTGTCAGAATGGGTTCTGTTGTGAAGGTGGTTGCTTTGGCTGATGCTGCCATATCGTTGGGTCACAGTCTGCAACGTTCTCGGGAAATGTTACAATCCACCCCACTAGCCGAAGACAATGGAAGCGAAACTATTCTGATGTCTGAAGATTGTGCCAACTATCTCACCCAGTACAAATGGACAGAGATTGAAGCGTTGATAAACAGGTTCCCTGGTGTTGGGTTGACAAGAGCTGGTAATGCACTGGAGGTTAAAGGGCCACGGAATTATCTCTCGGAGGCAGTGAAGGTTGTCAACGATGAAGTTGGATGTGTCACCAGCTTCCCCATAACTCTCGGCCCTGGAATAAGCATCCTGGCTGTGGCAGATGTATCACAACGAGTTGGCGAGAAGCACCAATGTATCATAACTCCTCAGCAACAAATTGGCTTCATGGAACAAACGCAATCCCTAACCCTAGGGGAGTCCCTTCGGATGAGTTTGCCATCAGGTATGTAGACTCAGAAATGTTGTAATTCTGTCAAAATATGATTAATATTCAAGAAAACTCAATGTTTTCGATATACTCAACAAACAAAGTTAGGGACCAACCCAATTTTCAATATTAAAATATTTAATATTTCATATTATGAACCTATCAATGCTTATATAATGAATATTGGGGTTGTCCTTAACTTTTTGTGTTGAGTATATATCATATAATTATATATTTTCACACAAACTGTACGTATCATAATTATATATTAAAATATACAGTCAGTTTCAATCATGGAAATGCATTTTCGGAATGTTTTCGACATTGTTTTGCAGCCCCAAGGAAAACAAAGGTCAAAGTAGTCATGAATGCACTCGAAAAACAAAAGGTAAAGGATTTTAAATGATTAAAATTCTTCGATAATTTGAATATATTCTTAAATGATCGATAGTTCCTTGGAACAATCTTGGAGCTACATATAGTGCCTACACAGGAGTTTATGGTTACTGTTTATCAGTTTGTATAATCCACTGGGTAACTCGGTAAATATTGAGTATAATATATTGGCGTGTAAAGGAAGGGAATTACATAAATTAATTACATATTTCCTGATCATGTCATGTACTTGTATATTAAATGTATATTTTATTTCTAGGCTGATGTTATTGTCAATACAACCAACGATAAGTTAATCCTGGGTAAAGGACGAGGCGTTTCTTGGTGCCTCCTCCAGGCTGCTGGGGAAAGCATCCAGAAACAGCTGACGAAAGACCATCCCAAAGGCATCGGCAATGGTGAAGTTGCAGAGACGGGACCGGGGAACATTAAGACCTGTAAGGCCATCTACCACGGAGCTCTGCCAAATTTTCCTCAGTCACCAAGTCCGAACTATCAACAGGAGGAGGACGAGTGTTTCAAAGTAGGTACTTTCATTTGACTGTTGTTTGGTTGTTGTTTAACGCCGCACTCCTCAACAAAGGATTCTAATCGTACCAAATCGATCGTACCAAAGGATTCTAATCGTACTACGATCTTTCCTGAAACCACGTTGAATATTTGTTATAAGGTTACTGGTTTCAAGATACCATGTTAATCTATTATGTACCATTCGTTCCATGGTTTTACAGACACAGTTAAATCTTAGTCCAGTGCTTATAATGCTTTGTCTTATTTGTCATACACAAGTATTGGTCATTCCATTCTAAACCCTCGAGGTAATAGGAATGAGATAGGATCTATATCCTTCGATGGTACCATGTCAAAGCAGCCTAATGGAGGATGTTGGTCAGAGGGTGGAACACATCGTCTACTGCTCACATCACATATTCACTGGGTTTAAGGCACATGTCACACCTGTTGAAATGTATTGCTACCATAGCAATATTCCAGCTATATGACTCTCATTTGTAAATAATAAAGTCTGGACCAGACAATCCCGTGATCAATAGCATGTGCATCGATTTACGCAGTTGGCGCATAGGCGCCTCTTACGACAAGCATGGATTGCCAATTCTAACCCGATATTCACGGGTCACTTTTATTTGAATATGCCGTAAATCGGGAGTTCCGTTCTGAGCTGCAATTGACATGGCGTGTGGGTTAAGGCTCTTAACTGGACTTTTATAAAGGCTTCAGTGAAAATGTGGCGACGGAATAATATCAGATGAAAGCTTGACTTGACTTTGCAAGTATTTGTGACTGTCCTCACCTTTCAGCGCGCTCCTGAATTGGCAACAGATCATGTTTATGATTAAACATTAATTTTACTTCAGACTATGCTTGTGACATTAGTTTGTAATGACAGAATATACGATAGGCAGTTGCTCATAGAATGTGATACTCCTAACATAAGGGCATATACAACTACTGGAGGGTGTATTGTGTATATGAATCAAATAATTCTTTATTTCACCTGGGTGGATATATCTATTATACCAAAACTTTAATTCTATACCATTGTCAGTGTTTCATTTTGTGAATTCAGTGGATGGTGTCCTTGGTGTTCAACTGTCTTATCAAGGCATCCGAGAAAGGTTATAAGACAATTGCCTTCCCTGCTCTCGGTACTGGGGCACTTGAGTATCCGGTCCAGCACGTTGTCCAGTTGATGTATAAGGCAATAAAGCTCTTCAACGACGACAAGAGATCTGGAGCCATCAGAGAGATCTTCATAGTGATCTACCCAGAAACGAAACTCTCAGTCAAACAGGTGCTTCACGTTTTGCACACCAAATATCCAACAGATAATAACTGCCACATAAAAAATAGACATCTCAAACCACCATGGTGATGCACAAAGGCTGTTGTTCACAAAATGTTTATACCTCGGCAAAAGATATTTGATAAGCAGTAAAGACGAAGCTAGAAAGTGAAACAAAAGCAATAAATAGTTACTTACTGCCATATATATGTAATGTAAAATAATGAATAATTGGAAAATGAGAAATCAGCATTGTCTGATTTCTACTGTCAGGAATTATATCTGGAATAGATCAACACGTATGTGTCTGAGTAACGTTGTACCCATGTAACAGTTAAATGATCTGTTCTTCAACTGAGGGATGTGTTGCCACTCACCAGCAACGGTGGGGCCAGTTTTTCAAAGATTCAAAACTGTAGTGTCTGGCTACAGTTGAAAATCTCTGCATTGCAATTGTACACTCAATTGTACTTCACGTTTGGTGTCGCGATACTTTTGACGATGTGTATATCTCATCATTGTGGTGATTTGATATGTTCCGATAAACCACCACTGATGAAAATACTAGTTTTTCAAAGGACATTGGAAGTACTTATTTTGGCAACAATGTTTTGTCCTAGTTGTTCTTGGCACACCGTCTTACCTACAAGCTGAAGACAAAACATCTTGCAACAGTGGAACAGTTTCACGAAGGTAGGAAATCTAATGGTTTAATTGTTTTAGGTACAGTAACAGTACTGTGCACAAACAGATGGTTTGATACTTTTAAAGAAACATTACATTCAGGCAGAAAAGTGACTGTGTAATCAGGTCAATGTATCAAGAAGCAATGTTATGATGATTTTTAAATACAATACTTACATTATCATTATGAACAGAAAAAGCATACGTGTATGTACTCTAATATAATGATTGTGTAATGTAATATGATGGATTTGTAATGTAATGTAATGATTATGTGATGTAATTATTTTGTAATGTAATGATTGTATAATGTAATGATTTTGTAATGTAATGATTGTATAATGTAATGATTTTGTAATGTAATGATTGTGTAATGTAATGATTTTGTAATGTAATGATTGTATAATGTAATGATTTTATAATGTAATGATTTTGTAATGTAATGATTTTGTGATGTAACGATTTTGCAATGTAATGGTTTTATAATGTAATGATTTTGTATTGTAATGATTTTATAATGTAATGCTTTCGTAATGTAATGATTTTGTGATGTAGTTATTTTGTAATGTAATGAATTTGTGATGTAAAGATTTTACAATGCAATGATTTTGTAATGTAAAGTTACATTGTATGTGTTGTTTGTGTTTGTGCGTGTGTGTGTGTGTGAGAGAGAGAGAGAGTGTGTGTGTGTGAGAGAGAGAGAGAGAGAGAGAAGAGAGAGATGGGGATCGAAACCACGTTTCTGTTTTAAGTGGTTTCTATACATATGTTACGTTTGGGATTACTCTTTCTCAGTGTAATCCATATACATACGATGCTACATCTGATGCATTTTTATACATATGATGTTTTAGAGAAGAAGTTGAAACATCAACTCAAGTGCGAGATTCGTGTCCGCGTAGGAAACACTCTCCTACAGGTTGTACAGGGAAGTGTCAGTGAAGCAAGTGAAGTCACAGAGGCTGTCCTCGTTCTGTGGAATGACAGGGAAATAGAAAGTAAGCATGTGATTTTAACATATTCACATATAATAACAAGTGAATTTCCAATGTCGATTTCACTGAAGTATTATGCCTTAATCATTTTATGATACAAGGAGCAAAGAGGTAGCCAAGCGTTTGCTCGTCACGCAGAAGGCCCGGGTTCCATTCTCTAAATGGGTACAATGTGTGTCTCTTCTTGATGGTCACCCTTCATGGTATTGCTGGGGTTTTGCTAACGCTGCGTAACTCTGTAACTCAGTCACTCACGATGCTGTTACAGCTGAATGTTCTTCACGGTTGTGTCGAACAGACATGATTTGTTTGAGTGGCATTTTAGAAGTTGCTGGTATAGAGATGACACAACTTTATGGATGATCAACTTCTTTATTTTAACAATAGCGATGTTTCGGTGTAGATTCTTATACCGCTTTCAAGCATATGAGGGAATGATGGGGTACACCAGTTTATATACAAGATAAGATAATGCGAGAACAATAACAAGGGTGGGGAAACAAAGCATCAAAGAAAGTTACATGATGAGCTACAATGACATGATGATGAGCTGAAGATAACAAAATGAGATGAGTGGGATTACCATGACAATTTGTGAATGTAAGTTAATTTGGCAGGAGCCAAGGTGGTGGGGGATTAATAAGTGAGAAGCCAGTGGTGAGGAATGTGAGTATGAAGGTTGAAGAGAAGCCAAAGTGGGTTGAGTGGTTAATTTTTTGTGGATTAGATAGTTGTAAGCTGAAGGGATGTAATAGCCTTGATCTCTGTTAATAGAGGGATTAAAACGGCGTATTTGTAATGCTTCGGCCAATTTCCGCTGAGTGTAATCGTGTTTGTTGTTGTGTAAGTGTTTTGACAGTGTCCCAGTTGATGTTGTGTTGAGGAAATTTGGTGATGTGTTCCGAAATGGCTGATTTGGTGTTTGCTTTGTTTGCTTTGACCCATGTCAAGCTTGTAAACAAAACTTCTGCTAAACAAATGCTAAATGGCTGTTGCAACACCCTTTCAACTCTGAAGTGACTAAACCACATTTCCATTGTTACACTTGTAATTAAGCGCCACGAATCTTCATTTTGGTAAGGATGGTAGAGTAACCTAGTCGTTAAAGCGTTCGCTCGTCACGCCGAGGCCCGGGCTCGATTCCCTATATCGTGTTCCCCACAGTGATATTGCTGGAATATTTGTAGAAGTGGCATAAAATAATACTCACTCATGCACTCCACTTTGTATTTCTGTTTCAAGATGTATCTACCAATCCAGCACTTACCTGCACAAACGTTGAGAAGACTGACTGGCAGTGTGCAGCCTACGGTTCGTGACAGTATCTTCCTGCAATCTTTGTCTGTATTATAATCTCCTTGTCATACACATTTAACGCCGGTTAATCCATACCACTACACAAAACCCATTTACTGATTTCCTTGAACCCATATTATTACTGGAATATTGCTAGGTGCAGCGTAAAACTAAAGTCACTCACTCACTCCTTGAAACCATAAGCGCTGAGCAATATAACAAGAGACATTTAATATTTTACAGGTATTGAACATATTGATGACCGCATTGCAATCGTTGGGATTAATACTAGTACATCTTTAAGATCGGGGTGATGTACAAACGCAGCAGCATGAGGCTTTCGTACATGAGTGGCGGGTCCGACTGATGCTACGATTCACACGCATATTTTGCAAGGCAGGTCATACAAAACACTATACCAATGGCTGGTTTTTTTCAGTGTCTGAACTTAGCGAGACACGATGTTCCCATGACAGCACCAGCTTGCCGTTTGCGACGCTGTTACATTCCTACTGCCCAGACAACCAAACCAGCACCGTCACCGACGCCATCGCAGAAGCTATAAGAAACGCTGCCCAAATACACTCCAACACCATTACCATCCCAATAGCTCCTTCGAGTGAGAACTGTATACTTTGTATATTCATAAATCTTAACGATATTGCGTATTTTGTACGTGCAGAATTCTAGAAATTATATTCGAAAAATCGATGTTCCTTTAACACAACTGACAGTTTTGCTCACGAATGTATTTGACAGGATACTGTTTGCAGAACGCAGGTTAGATATTTTCATTAGGCGATTGTTTAGATAGCATTTCTTTATCTGTGCCAACCGATAATTCTAAAGCATAAACATGCATTCGAAAAAGAACTTATAGTTATACGGGTACTAATTCTTTGCCAAACGTATGTTCCTAACGGTTCAGGGGCGGTGGGGAAGCTTAAGGGTTAAAGCGTTCACTCGTCACGCCGAAAACACGGGTTCAATTCCCCACATGGGAACAATGTGTGAAGCCCATAAAAGTGACGTAAAACATTCTCACTCACTCCAATCGGTTCCAAAGTGAAGAGGGACAATGGGGTAGCTTAGTTGTTAAAGCGTTCGCTCGTCACTCCGAAGACCCGGGTTCGATTCTCCACAATGTGTGGATCCCATTTCTGGTGGTCCCCGCCTTGATATTGCTGGAATATTGCTAAAAGCGGCGTAAAACTAAACTCATTCACTAACTCACACACTCCAATGTGAAGAAAAGTGTGTCTATCCTTTCAGGTGAAATTGCTAAACGGCCAAATAACGCTGCCCAAATGGTGTTTAATGGCGTGAAGAATTCAGATGACTCTGTTTTCGTGGTGACCGTCATCATACCTGACGTGCATGTGTTCCAACCATTCAGCAACAAAATCGCACAACTGGCTCAGAAAGAGATGCAGGTTCCGGCGAACATTGACAAGTCGCCTGTTGCAGGTAGATAGCACATTTTGTATGCGCAGATTTCAACGTGTCATATATGAACGAAATATGTGTTTAAGGAAAAATAAGGCTTTTGTTCGAACATTTTGAAATTTTATGTAGCATTTATGTAATACTGAACACGATATCATTTTGTGTGAATGTCGATAAATATGTAATGAAATCTCTCATGGAAAATCGAGGTAAATAGCGAAGTATTAGGGGTGTAAGAATGTAAGAGGTCTCTCCTCGTCATATTTCAGAGCCCTTTTCAATTAAGAAATGAAATGTTTATGAAGTTTCGGTACATCTTCATCGTGTGTAAGATGAAAGAGCAATAGCTGATATGCCTCGTATGGTTAAACACCGATCGAAAATGTTATCTATAACACTGGTGGGTCAAGTATATTTCTAATTTTACAACCAGGCCATTGCCATTTCGACAATTGTCTTGCTGTCAGTTCATACGTGAATATCAGTATCAATATCAATGTTGCATGACTATCACCTACACCTATCGAACATTTTAGGAAAATAATGTGCATGTGGACAAGATTAGTCAGTTGATAAATATTTGAATTTCCTCCACAGGTATAGCTTCGTAGCCAACCTTATAACATTCAGTCATGAAACGCTTCAGTGGTTTCAAGATATTTAGCAATCGAAATATCGTAACGTTTTCTTTGAAAAGTTAACCATCATTTGTCATTATGTCATTACTTTCCTTTAGTTGATCTATTAGAAAAAACAATCACCATATGTCATTATTTTCCCCTGAAGACAAACATCATATGTCATTATGTCATATCTTTCCCTTTAGTTGATCTATGAGAAAAAAAACACATCATTTGTCATTATGTCATTATTTCCCCTTAGTTCATCTATGAGAAAAAACAAACACCATATGTCATTATTTTCCCCTGAAGACAAACATCATATGTCATTCTGTCATTACTTTCCCTTTAGTTGATCTGTGAGAAAAAACAAACATAATTTGTCATTATGTCATTATTTTCCTTTAAGTTATCTGTGAGAAAAAACAAACACCATATGTGATTATTTTCCCCTGAAGACAAACATCATGTGTAATTTCCTTCCCTTTAGTTGATCTATGAGAAAAAACAAACACCATGTGTCATTATTTCCCCTGATGACAAACATCATATGTCAGTATGTCTTTTCCTCCCCTTTAGTTGATCTATGAGAAAAAACAAACATCATTTGTCATTATGTCATTATTTTCCTTTAGTTCATCTATGAGAAAAAACAAACACCATATGTCGTTATTTTCCCCTGAAAACAAACACCATATGCCATTATCTCATTACGTTACTGTTAGTTCATCTATGAGAAAAAAACAAACATCATATGTCATTATGTTTCCTTTACTTGATCCATGGGAGAAGACAAACATCATTTGTCATAATGTTTCTTTTACTAAATCTATGGGAAAAGACAAACATCATATGTCATTATGTTTACTTTAGTTGATCTATGGGAGAAGACAAACATCATGTGTCATTATGTTTCATTGACTTGATCTATGGGACAAGACAAACATCATGTGTCATTATCTCATTACTTTTCCTTTAGTTGATCTACGGGAGAAGACAAACACCATGTGTCATTATGTTTACTTTAGTTGATCTATGGGAGAAGACAAACATCATATGTCATTATGTTTCCTTTAGTTGATCTATGGGAGAAGACAAACATCATATGTCATTATGTTTCATTTACTTGATCTATGGGACAAGACAAACATCATGTGTCATTATCTCATTACTTTTCCTTTAGTTGATCTATGGGAGAAGACAAACACAATGAGTCATTATGTTTCCTTTAGTTGATCTATGGGAGAAGACAAACATCATATATCATTATGTTTCATTTACTTGATCTATGGGACAAGACAAACATCATATATCATTATGGTTACTTTAGTTGATCTATGGGAGAAGACAAACATCATATATCATTATGTTTCATTACTTGATCTATGGGACAAGAGAAACATCATATGTCATTATCTCATTACTTTTCCTTTAGTTGATCCATGGGTGAAGACAAACATCATATGTCATTATGTTTACTTTAGTTGATCTATGGGTGAAGACAAACATCATATGTCATTATGTGATTACTTTCCCCTTTAGTTCATCTATTGGAAAGGACAAACATCACAATCATATCATTATGTCATTATATTTCCCTTAGTTGATCTATGGGAGAAGACAAACATCACATGTCACTATGTCATTACTCTTTCCTTTAGTTGATCTATGGGAGAAGACATACGCCGAAATAGCGTCCCAGACACAGACTGGCAGACTGGCCAAGATGGTCGTCACAATCGCCGAGTCGAAGTACCTCGTTACGTCAGACTCAGAGGACAAAAACAAAATGGCGGCCGAGGATTTCAAGAAGGAGCTGATCAAGGACCTGCCACGGAACACCAGTCACAGTTACATCCGGCTGGGATAAACAACGCCATACCCAATATTTGATGATGGGGATTTGCTACAAAATAATAACTCTTACCTCCACGCACCATATCAGATTGTATATACCACTGTCAAACTAACCAATTTCTATCTTAACGGCTCTGAAACGAACATATGTTACAGAGAATACAATTCTAACTTTTAGAAACTATAACCAAAAGACTCCCAGGGACTTTATTTCATTTCCTGAAACTGGGGTTTTCTAGACATGTCACACATTCTAGACTGGCATGGGCTGTATTGGGTATACTGTTTCAGGATTTCTAAGACAGATCATTAATTTCACGGCAAGCTCTTGTAATCTGTAATTTGCTTATGGTGGTAATGCGAAATGATATGAAAGATCTAGAGTTAATCAAAATGATTTAAAGAACACAAGATTCTTTCATATTACTGTTGTTAATCCGTCAATACAGTTTAATGTCAGTCTTTATGAAGGAATCTGATCCTCTTCATCTTCGTTTGACAAGTATAGTTATGAACATGCACGGTCACTACTTCTGTGGTTATGCAAATAATAGAAATAAAATCCCTTGTGGTACTCCTATATTTTGGCTATTGTTGACAATGACCGAGATATACAATCATTCAGGTAACCCTGATCCACGTTCCACCTGGGCTATGAAAATGCAAACTGGATACAATGCTCAGAATTCAAAGTATTATAGTTGTGTTTACCAATAAGTGGTAGAATACTGTGTTAGTACAACTGATGTTTTGTTTGTATCTGCAACATGTGTATCACTATGATATGAGCCTCTACCAAAATGCTTTTGCATTATCTTAAAGGTGTTGCACTTGTGTCTTGATAAAGAAAATACTGATACAATGAATATAACCAAACATTTTAGAAACATGCCTTGATACTCATTACCCTTATATCACCTTTATAAGTGACACTATTAATTTCTTCAGATAACCAGATATCATATTTTGTAATTCCCTTTTCACTTTAATGGATTATACATATTTCCTGTGTATGTACAATTCCTGTAATATGTAAAATGTCCCCATATGACCCGGATCCTATTTGAGAAGACACTTGAAATAGTCTTGAATATCAAAATTAATGTATTGAGCCCCTAAGTTACACAACGTTGTGACAAAATGATCTGACTTATTCTACGAAACATCAGCATATGTTGTACTATTGTCAAGCATCGCGATGTATCAATCTACTCCCTGGCATTAATGTCAATGACAAATGTGTTCAAAGTCTAGTTGCGATGTTCCTACCTAATTCACAAGCATGATAGATGCTCTGAATCAATTATCTGTGAATCATATGTTTATTCAGACGGGTTGAAGAACTGTGAGAATTGGTGTGTCATGTTTTGCTAATCTCCCATTGTACGTAACATTTATGTTGCACCAGCACATGTAGCAGATATTCATTATCTATTCCTGCTCTGTAATATGTACACAAAGAACTTCATTAAGCACCCTCTGTATTTTTGTAATGATAGGTTTTCAATATTATGTTCATAAAACTTATTTTGGTGACCACGATGGAAAAGGTTTTCTGACCCGTATGATAAAAACCCCAAAATGACTGGATTCCATGTTGGTTTTATGATGATAATTGCTCATTTTTTTTAAAACACACACTGGTTTTCATACAAAACCATGTCTGTACAAGTATGTCCCTGGAATGTTTAATGTTGAATTTATTGGTGAATGTGAACATTCCAAATGTCATTTTGCGTGTCTTAGACGATTCAAGGTCAGTACCGAGTGTAACCTCCTTGTGACTGTATAACAGCCAGCACTCTCCTCCTCATACCCCCTGTCAGCCTCCTGATCCTCTGAAAGGCCAGTATACGCCATTCGTCGTGTAAAGCAGCTTCCAATTGGGCCAGGTTCTGTACTGGAGGATCCCTTTGTTGCACACGACGACCAATCATATCCCACATATGCACCAAAGGGTTAAGGTCGGGGCTCATTCAATCGTGATATATGTCAAGGGGTGCTCAGCTAAGTTCTTTGTGTATATGTCCAGTCCCTTATATCTGTTGTACTTGTTTCATTCCACGTGCTCGCATTCTTCGTAGGGGCATGTATAAAATGTTAATTATACAATGTAAATGACGCTAAGATCTGGCCAACTGGAAATCAGTAGGAGATCTGTATTGTTCTCCTCCTGGCCTATATACAGAAAATGTAATGCCAATAATGCATGATTATAGTGCCAGGTGCTGCTTTCTGCTTGGTGGTGGTTAGCTAGTCTGTAAGTTTGTGATGCTAAATAGAGAGCTGAAGGTATAGTCTTACACCTAAGCTCGTAAATTATTACCAAATGATGCATAAATGGTCCTCTCTCACATTCACCCTGCCTTGTTATATGTGTTTGAGTTATTACAAGACTGAATTGAGTGCTGCGTATTATGAATGAATTCATGCGTGTGATGTACATGCACATTGTCCCTGGACCCATGATAGGAGGCGTGTGGTACCTGAATGACATTCAAGACGTTTTACAAATCATGCATGAACTTTTCGAAACCATGTTCAACTACCTTACACGCAGGTACCATTATTTCAAGTTGATCAAACAGTGAATACGTTGCCCTATCGATGAACACGGGCAGTATCGTTGAGAATGACTTCCCCGCTGACCTGATTCATCCTGTAGAGAATGGAATGAACGTCTTGTCCACAAGACACATTCCGGAAAGTGTAGTCGTCAAAGAAGCTCCTTTGATGAGTGAGTGAGTTAGTATGGTTCTACGCCGATGTTTGACAACATTCCAGCTATATTGCGGAGTATACCAGACATAAAGTTCACATGTTCTACTTTCGTTGGGAATCGAACCCGGTTTTGTGGTGAGACGAGCGAACGCTCTAACCACTACGCTACTCCACCGCCCCATTCTTTGATAAAGTGGCATAGTGGCAGAAATAAGGATTAAACTTTGTAACCCATGCAGATGAAATACCGACATGTGACACGTGCACAAATTGCATTTGGGAAAATGTGTGGGGTTTCTTCAGGACATGCTGCACATGCTGTGTTTGGGAAACGCTTTCCGCCAAGTATACTTGCAATAATTTCTTAAAGGAACATTTTATTCAGGTATATGGCTTCTTACACTGTTATTAAGCTAAAAGTGATGAGAGGAATATAGGCACAGCATGTAGAGATTGATTGAGCACTCAGCAATATCCCAGCTATAAGAGGGCGGTCTGTAAATAATCTAGTCTGGACCAGACAATCCTGTGATCAACAACATGAGCATCCATCTACGTAATTGGGATACGATGACATGTCAACCACTTCAGCGAGTCTGACCACCCGATCCCGTTAGTCGCCTCTTACGACAAGCATGGGTTACTGAAGACCAAGTGAAACGTTCAGTCTTTTACAAACATGATTCTTATAGTCATTGCTGGAATATTGCTAAAAGCGGCGTAAAGCTAAACTCTCTAACAAGCTACTACAGCCGTATATGCTAGCGTACGTGAGGATGTCCTCATCCTCTGGACAAATACAGGATAAATAAATTACTTTCATCGTGATCTGGAAAATATTTTAGAGATACTTCTTTATAGAATGTTGTTGCAGTGCTTATTTTGCAATGCTTAGCGACAATATTGTGAAAAAGGATGCCTTTGATATATCTAGGATATCGCTGCGATCACAGGAGAACGCACGTTCGTGGAACAGGGTGCCTGTTTGCGAAAGTAATATACTAAGCAGCAAAAGAAACGTCGGTTTGGAATTTTCCTTCGCAGAAACGGATAACTGTAAACTCATTTAATGTTTTGATTGTATATTTCTGACAACATCTCCAACTTTACCTGAGCAAAGACATTCCTTCCCAAACTCAGAATGGAACCCAGGAAATGGTCTCAAAAACGCAACCTGATCTCGGAGATGGTACGGTGTTCTCCATGTTTTTCATGCAACTCATGCTGCACGTGCTGTTTACAAGGACCTATAAAATGCACCCCCAAACCTGGTTGAAACATTCACATTACAACGTCAGCAGGATGCCGCGACTCACGGCAGCTCAGAGGAACCATGCGCTAAGAAGACCTGAAGCTGGCCACACTACACAAAGCGTTGCCATTCACTTCCAGGTCAACGTTCGGACCATCTACAGGGTGCAGCAACGTTTCCGGGCCACCAACACCACAAATGATCTACAGTTTGCCCTACAATACCAAAACTGGCGATATATGCAATGGAGAACTGTCCTGTTCACAGATGAGAGTCGGTAATGCGTATCAAGTGCAGACGGCAGAACAAGAATATGGCGACGACGTGGCCAGCGTTACTCAGACCAATGTGTTATGGAAAGAGACTCATAGGGAGATGTTATAGGGTGGAATAGGCCTGAACCAGAGAGTGGGTCCTGTTGTGTTCCAGAACCTTGGTCCAGGGAGAAGAGGCGGCATCACAGCGGTGCGCTACATCGACCAAGCTCTCAGTCCGCACGTCATACCACATTTCGCACGTCACCGGAACATTTTTCAGCATGATACCGCCCGGGCCCATACTGCCAGAGATACACGGGACTTCCTACAGCAAAACGGTGTCAACATTATGCAGTGGCCAGCCCTTAGTCCTGATTTAAACCCAATTGAACATCTTTGGGTTGAAATTCAGAGGAGATTGAATAATGTCATACCAAGGCGGAACACAGCCGATTTATTGCGCCAGGCCTTTCTCAGAGTGTAGTCCAGGTGCCAATGGCCGTCATCAATCGATTGGTGCACTCCATGCATAGACGCTGTGCTGCAGTTATTGCCGCTCGTGGTGGTCACACTAGATACTGAAGTCAAGAGTCTGAATGAACTGCAAACGTTCACGTAATGTCTTGAAATTGTGCCGAGTTATTCATTGATGTGTCAAGATATTGTACACACAAAATGTTCTGATCCACTTATTATGTCCATTTCTGTAATGATTTGATTACAGTGCCTATCTAATTTTGAATTCATACTGACGTATTTTTTGCTGCTGAGTATATAAGCTGCATACAATACCATACTCCCACATCACGCGGTTGTGTGTACCGATCTTGCTGATTAAGTAAACGGTACCCGGTGGGATAAGTCATATAACTGTTATCTTTCCAGGGCCTCACAGTCAGACTGGGTTATCCGTGGTAGCAATGCATTGGCTCCTTGGGCATCCACAAGTGTGTGGATACAGGCGCTTTATATATGTCCATTATTAGGTATACAGCAGTGAGCGAGTGAGTTTCGTTTTACGCCGCTTTTATCCATATTCCGGTACAAAGTCACGGCGGAGGACACCAGAAATAGGCTTCACACATTGTACCCATGTGGGGAATCGAACCTTCGTCTTCAGCGTGATGAGCGAATTGAAGATTCATAACACTAAATTACTCGTGTAATAATTAAAATGTGTTTTAGTCAGCTCATAGTTGATAGGGGGTTGCACCGGGCATTTAGCATGCAATGAAGATTTGTTTACAAACTTGACACCAAAACGTGACGAGCGCTTTAACCATTAGGCTACTAGGCCGCCCCAGGTGTACAGTAACCGATATGGGTAGAATTTCATACATACTCGGATATCATAACATGGGTGTATTTTATGAGACGATGGTCTGCTGTTCCAAATTTAATTATATAAAATACTTGTTAAACTATTTAGAGCAATACCAACGAACTACGAAAGACAGAAACTGTATGGGGGGAGGAATTCATACACTATTGTGTACAGTCTTTTCGAACAGAGCCGTAGACTGTGAATCAGGTTAAATAACTTGGGTACAGTGATACGCTCAATAGGCTGTACAGCCCGACCGCCATTGCTGTAGCAGCGACAATCACAGTAACAGTCTTATGCTGTTGTCGCAGTGAGTAAACAAATACATTTTATATCGCCATAACAAGGAACTGAATTCTTCGGTGCAATCTTAAGAATGTAATGGCGACATTTATGAATTTGGGACCATAATCTCTAATCTTTGCCCATGCAAAATACATTGTCTATTCATTACACAGCGTCAGAAAATAGGACGCTTCGTTTCCTTGGTGATATCGACGATTTTCAGTGTGATCTTATATTTTTCATGACTACTTTGCTTTTCATGAGCAGTGGTATCTGTTCCGTCTGTAATCGAGACATGGTCCTGTTCCCATGATGTGTCATGTTATAAAGAGGCAACATGACAACAGAAACAGTCGTAATAACGAAACCGAAAGTAAAATGTATCGTCACATTATATCATCAAAGTATTGCATTTAAATGTACCTGATCCTCTGCACTGATAATAGTTCGAGGTACTTCCTGTTATCGTGGAGAATATTAGAAGATTTATTTGAAAACACCAGGCAAATGTACCTCTATTCATTGATGAATTTAAGTTTAACCCCTAGTGAAATTACAAAATAATGCTTTTATCGAGACACAATTGTATTTGTCATGCAATATATATATATCGTATTCGTCACAAATAAAACACAAATTCATAACTGTTAACTTCATTTGAACACCGATTAATATTAGTCTAAAACATGTCATACATAAACAGGAAACGATAGAAATAAAACAATAATCAAAGGGAGATAATTCTATGTTAGCATCCAAAATGCAGACCACTAAGCTATGGTAAAAAGCAGCATACATGTAAATGTTAGGCTAGCGATCTAGAACATGGCTAATTGAATGTATCGCAATGAAACAATCATAATGTAATGTTCTCGTCCAAATTGTAAACACAATATAAAACTATGACAATCTGGTGATTAGCGAATCATGCTTCGACATATATTGCATACGTAAATAACATGTATTCCTCGTTCTGGGTGCAATACGGCTGAAATACTGTTTAAGCAAACATTACTTCACTAACTCACACAGTATGACTGAATACCCAACAAAACAATGATTTTTAATAGGTATGAGAGGCGGTGGGACATTTTCTGTTACATAAATCTAATTATCCTCATCTGTATCTAATGAAGTATTACTTTCATCAAGCACTTAGACAAGAGGCTTGACGTTTGATATTCTTTGAAAAATATCCTATTCATGTTTTCGCCAGTGTAAAAAACGCCTGTGTTCATTTTTGAGAAATTCTTGTCATCTAAGAAAATGTCATCTCTTTTAGTGACGCGCATGAATGGATTAACGAGATTAATTAGTGACGCGCATGAATGGATTAACGAGATTCCCACTGTCCCTTCTCTCTCTCCCTTTCCCCCCGACTCTCACTGTTCTGTTAACTGCCATTGACATTAGCTATTGCAGTACAGCAATATAAACAGTGCTAAAAAGACGGTGAGTGGGTTATATGAATACACTTACTAATACGAAATTGAACGTACGGCTAATACCTCTTTTTTATGAAAGCACAAATGGTGTATTTCCTGAAATGAAACTACATTCTATAACATATAACGTACATATATATGTCCTGTGTTAGGTGACACCATGTCTTTGGGTCGCTACATAGACGTGAGTCTGAACCCGATACAGGAAGTTCGGTCCTTCTTCTCTGAAGCTGCTGAAGCTGAGGTGGTGGGAGCCAACAGCAGATTTCTTTTCATACATGACGCGAAAGGTAAGATTTGTTTGTTTGTTTTTGTTTGTTAACGCCGAATATGACAGCAATATGACAGCGGTCACATAAATGGTATGTAGAGATAGAGTTTTGGTGCCTTTGTACAAAGCGATCTTACTGCTAAGATGTTGGTATTACGTACCTCGAAAGGATGCATTAACTTGTTGCGCCTAGTGGCTGCAAGAGTTGAATGGTCTCCATGAAGTTGAGATTGGAAATAATATGTGCCGTTGAGATTGACATCCAATGATCGAGGGAAAAACAAAGCGCTTTGAGCATGCATGTACATGGGATGGACGATAGCGCTATATAAATACCCATATACTGATATTTCCAACACCGACAGACACAGACACAGACTTATGACTATCGTACCGTTTTGGTAATTCTTCAACAACGGCACCATGGGCCAAACAGTCCAATGAGTGACATCATGAGCACCGATCCACGCAGTTTTGACACGATGACATGCATGTCAGAGAGTCTGACTACTCGATCCCGTTAGACAGTTTTATTGAGTGTGTGCGCGTGTGCGTGTGCACGATATTTAGAGGTTATTACAGTTTTCTTTTCGCCAGTCTTATGGTAGTCGAGGGCTGTTATGACCTTCGAAAGGGAAACTGTGATATCATAACCTTTGTATTATATACCTCACCAAGGGGCGCAAACCGAAACATGAGTCAGACAATGACCTTGTTTCATCCGATCCAAATTTTCACGTGTGAAAGTGAAAAGAGACACTACAAACAACTATGGTTACACGAAATTCCAATTCCTTGTTTCATACAAAAATGGTACTGACAAATGAAGTTTAATTTTAAAGTTCGTATTTCTATATTTTATGGTGAGGTTTAGTCAGTATGACCTTAACCCAGACGTCACAGACTGCATCTGTTTGATAAGGTCGTAAAATGATTCCAAATTCACCTGTTATGTGTTCTTTGCGCTCATTCAGTGTATTTTTGTAACGTACAATGTGATTTAATATCAAGTCCGTACTAGATCGCCAAACATTTTTAGCGACCGAACCTTGTTTTGAGATTTCCACGTTTTCCAGATTTCTTCTTGTCAGAGCACGCTGTACGACAGAGCACGCTGCACGACGTGTTTGCAAGGATTAGAGGGAGCGTAGTGTTGCAATATACAAATGATTAGATGTATCAAATAATACTGATTAATATTTACATATCCTGTTGAATGGGTTGGTCTCAAAATTCTGGACTGGTTATTATACTAAGTTGCTCAATAGGACCCAGTCAGCAGTAAACGAGACTGTTGTTTAATCACTGTATTGACTAGCGAAGATACATAGCTTTCACTAACATCAACAGCGTTCATGTTAGTGAACGCTATGTATCTTAGCTGTTTTGACTAGAACTTAAAATAAACTAGGCCGTATATTAAGTTTTGAGCGTCTGTGTGTATTCATTCCGTACCAGTTTAGTACCCGCCTATACGGCTGATATGGATATTCGGTCCTTGGGCTGATATGGCTGATATATATTTTCGGGCCAGGTGGTCAGTGTGGGTATATCGTTAATACCCTTTCATATTGTGCAATAACATGTATTGTGTTCCAGAAAACCCTCCACTTGAAGCACACACCTACCCTATCCCGCTCTCTCCAGCCCAGATACACTATCTACAAGACAAAACTACAACACAACAAAACATCAAACGGGCTTTAAAGGATAAAAATCTACGCTGCGAGTTTCATTTTGATAAATCCACGGTCACCATCACTACACGGGGAAGGAAGACGGAAAAATATGCTCTTCAGATTATCAAAGAGAGTATATCGGAAACGGATATCTCCTCAGATGAAATCAATAACATGGACGATTGCATGGAAACGCCTGCTGAAGAAGGGTCAAGAGAGGGAGACGGACATGTCCTTGCTGTCAAATATGGCACGACGGTGAAAGTTGTTGGACCACCTGGCATCATACGACGTTTGAATCAATGCTTACAACGGGCCAGGCAGGGACAGGAGGCAGGATCTACAGAATCAGCCGCGACTGAAAATAAAGAAGAATGCATTCCAATGTCACAGGACTGCATGAACTATCTTTCCCAGTATAAATGGGCCCAGTTTGATGAGCTGACGAAACGTCTCACTGGTTTACGCTTGATAAAACACAGAAGTGAAATAAGGGTTAGAGGACCTCCGAAGGAGACTGACGAAGCTGTGGGCATCATTAAAGGTGAAGTTGAGCGTGTCACTAGCTTCACCATAACTCTAGGCCCTGACATAGGCATTCTTGCGGTCGGGAATGTCTCGAAACGTGTAGGTGAAAAGTATAAATGTATCATATCTGCCCAGGAACATTTCGGGCACATGCAGTCTATCCCATCACGGACGCTGGATTCACTCAGTCTAAGTATATCAGGTATGTCAAACCATCTGCGAGTACTGCAGAAAAACATTCGCTAAATATTGCGTCTGTCTGTCTGTTATAACTATGAATACACAATGCCATTTAGAAAGTGGTCAAATGTAACACGTTACATGTGGAGTTACACCGGATAGGACTCAACCCAAAATAGTATTAGAATCTGTAGAATATAGCACGTGTTACATGTTTTTAACTAATACAACCCAAAGTAAGTTACGCGTCTGACAAAAGAAATATCTGAAAAATTTGAATAATCTTTCCAAGTATTTTCTTTTCAGAACAAAAGGCAAGGAAGGTTAGCGTCGTTATGAATGCTCTCGAAAAGCAACAGGTACTCATTCATGTGTTTCTTTCAATTCAGTCATAGGTGAAAACAGTGGAGTAATGCTTTCTTATTCCATAGAATGTTGTATTTCAAGGAATGTTTGAATAATGATGATATTATTACAATATATAGATACATTAATCATACTTATGTTTAACCCGACTTAAATACCAAAGTATGCCTGGAACGACGACATTGGTATGATTTTTCCAAATATTCTGACAGTGGAGTAATTCTTCCTTATTCCATAGAATGTTGTATTTCAAGGAATGTTTGAATAATGATGATATTAATACAATATATAGATACATTAATCATACTTATGTTTAACCCGACTTAAATACCAAAGTATGCCTGGAACGATGACATTGGTATGATTTTTCCCAATATTCTGACAGTCGAGTAATTCTTCCTTATTCCATAGAATGTTATATCTCAAGGAATGTTTGAATAATGATGATATTATTACAATATATAGATACATTAATCATATTATGTTTCACCAGATTTAAATACCAAGCTGTGCCTGGGACTATGGTATTTCTATATTATATACACTATGTTCACAACTTTCAGGCTGATGTTATTGTCAACACCACGAACACAGAGTTGCACCTAGACACAGGGCTCGGAGTGTCAATGTGTATTTCTAAGGCAGCAGGAAGCACCATCACTGATGAGCTGAAGCGAGATTACCCTAACGGCATACAGCATGGCGAAGTGGCCCAGTCTGGGCCCGGCAACATCACAACCTGTAAGGCTATTTATCATGGCGCCCTGCCTCCCTTCCCACCGAAAGACTGTCCAGACTATGAGCAGAAAGAAGAAGAGTGTTTTAAGGTAAATAGCATTTTTGTTCTTGTTGACAACGCCTTTGTGACAGCATTTTTATGCCGTTGGCATTGACATTATCAGAAGCTGAAGAACTGCTGGGACGGCGGGGACAGCCGGTTAAAGCTTTCGCTCTTCACATCAAAGGCCTGGGTTCAGATCTCCACAGGCATACATTGTGTGAAGCCCTTTTCAGTCAGTTTTAATTTTCCTGTGATATCGATCAAGCGTAGTAAACCCAAATTCACTAACTGAGTTAGTCATTTAAAACCGATAGGTATTTCTGGATAATTCCGGAGAGTGCAACCAGAGGTTACATGTGATGCAGTGAAATTAGACATGTAAAATGAAATATACAAAACGGATTCCGTTGCAGAAAAGTAATTGCTGTTGTTTGTGAATATATAAAACTGTACATGGAACTATTAAATGCATATGCAGAGAACGAATCCCTGATCATGACGTATACCTATTGCATGCGCTTATTTTCTTGTAAAATATTATCCTGACTATCACCATCATCATCATCAATACTAATAGATATACTTGTTCAGATTTAAGATCCTCAACGAAATACAGTTTGCAGGAACACATCCGCCATTACCTCTTTCTTGGTACACTGGTACATAACTCAGTCAATCTGTTTCAGTGAATTTTTGCTTCATTATTCATTTGATCCAGAGGATGGTTAAAACACATCATTTTTTATTTTTGCAGCATTATTCATTTTGGTTTTTTTCGAGAGGGTGGTTCAAACACACCTCTTTAGTTTTGCAACATTATCCATTTGATCCAGAGCGTGGCTCAAACACATGTGTTCTATTCATGCAGTGGATGGTATCCCTGGTATTCAACTGTCTCATCAAGGCATCCGAGCAGCGACATACCTCCATTGCCTTCCCTGCTCTTGGAACCGGACTCCTGAATTACCCAGTCCAACACGTCGTCCAGCTGATGTATAAAGCTATAAGACTCTTCAACGAGGACAAAGGAACTGGGTCCATTAGTGAGATCATCATCGTGATCTATCCAGAGACTAAGCTCTCAGTCAAACAGGTATTGGGCACTTTTATTGGCACGGTTGGCTATCTCCTTTAAAGTGAAAGTTCCCAAGCATAAAACTAAGATCATGGGTTCGGATCCCAGACGAATCATATGCTTAGTGGTTGGTCAGCACTGTATATATGTAAGTGAGTTTTATCAAGCTGTAAACGTCAAATACATAAGACAAAATTGGCGCAGTGGGATAGTGAGTTTAGTTTTACGCCGCACTCAGCAATATTCCATCTATATGGCGGCTGTCTGTACATAATTGAGTCTTGACCAGACAATCCAGTGATCAACAGCATGAGCATCTATTGGGATACGATGGTGTGTGTCAACCAAGTCAGCGAGTCTGACCCCTCCGATCCCGTCAGTCGCCTCTTATGACAAGTACGGGTTACTGAAGATCAGTTCTAACCCGGATCTTCATGGGTTCGCAGTGAGATAAGTGAAATATTTTTCAAAGCGATGTTAAAGCCAAGCGTTAGGCAACAAATACAACTGTCATATCAACTACTCAAGTTCATGTATTTGATTATATGAAATTGTTCATGTTATGTTTCAGCTGTTTCTAGCTCACCGCCATACATACAAGTTGACGACAAAGCATCTCACAAGCATTCAAGAGTTTCACGAAGGTTCGAAATCGTGTTGGATGAAGATGTAAACACTATCGTTAAATGCAATAAATTACGGTTAGATAACAATATCAATATCAATAATTCAAACAAATATCTTCGCTAGAGAATCTATTAGTAAGAAATGATAGATATATCGTTTTACATGATTACAGAAGCAATGCCCCGGACATGTACAGAATACAGAGTAGATAGTGCTATTGATTCATGTCATGTGTCTCCTGTTTGTAGAGACTTACTTTAAACCTGTTATTTTCATTTACTTCTAGTTTTTGTAGATATACATATAATTTCTGAGGGTAAACTGTGTCTCTCATTTCTATGAATAGAGATGAAAAAGGATCACAAGCGAAAGTGTGAGGTTCGAGTCCACGTGGGTAACACACTATTGCAGGTTGTGAATGCCAACGTTCATGATGCCAGAGACGTCACCGAGGTAGTTCTTGTTCCATGGAATGATAAGGAAATTGAGAGTAAGTACATGGATTGAAGAGTGTAAACTATATATGTCATGTATATACGTATTTATGAAAGTGTTTGAGCTCCATACAAAGTTTATTGAAAATAGATTTATTCTGAATTATTAAAATACATGTTTCAATAAATATATCAGTGAATACATTTCCACGACTTTAAGGTAGTGATTCACGATGACAAAGTACATAGTAATGCACTAGGCGCAATTTGATATTTTCGTGTTTGTTGTTTATGTGAACATCAATAATTGTTATTTGGCTCTTTGGTGCTCAGGAAAAGATACTTTTGTTTAACCGTAATTAACGCCACGTTTTGCTGACAGTCACCGTCTAGTTAGTATGCTGCAAACGGGAGTGGCACAAAATGTTGATGCAGGACATTTATGTTTATCGATACACATCATCAGTGTAGAACCATCATCTACGGCAGTGCAGCAAGACAACCATATTCGTTTGTGCACAGTATTTGTATTGATCGAAACCCAACCTTTTAACCATGGAAGGAAGAAAGTGCCCCCTTTATTATCACTGATTGGTTTGTCTAGTACCGGCTCTATTGTGTTCAGGACACTGTGATATTATGGAATATTGTTGAATGTGACGTGGCAAAACAGTGAAAAAAACACATAAAAATCATAGAAAATGTTGAAGAGGGTATCTTCTGTGAAGTACAACATGCTGCCTATTTCGAGGTACACAGTCAGTATAGAATGCTGGACCTGTGTATGCCCTGTATTCCAGATCCTAAAGACAATCCCAGTCTTATGAGCCTGTTTCCGGACGTGATGGAATGGCAAGGAGACGCTTATGGTTGGTGATGTAAAGTGTTTCGATACTCTGTTGATTGATGAAGAAAATGTCGAGTATTCATTCATTCATTAAATAGTTCGTTCGTTCGTTCCTTTCATTCATTTATCCATCGAACATCCGTTCATCCACCCATCCACCAACCAACCCATTCATTCATTTATTCATTCATTTCTTACGAAAGAATAGAATATATGTTATAATGGAATTACCACAACATTCTTATATTTAAGGATTATGAACTATATTGCGACAGTTGTTAAATTTCTCTGTCTTATCAGTATATTTTGTTATTTTGTGTTTCTATTGCTCTAAATTAAATTGAAGTAATTACAACTGTATTATAATAAATAAATGATACATGTTATAGTGTATGCATTTTAATACGTTCTATATATTTACAGTGTCTGAGCTTAACGAGACCATGTGTGCCCTGGACAGCACCAGTCTCACAAATATGACGCTGGTACACTCATACATCAGGGAGAACCAAGTAGACGTGGCTAGTGAGGCTATTGCACAGGGAATAAGGAGCGCTACTGACAAACTGAGGTGCTACACCGTCACCATACCAATCGTTCCTTCAGGTAAGGATGGCTACATCCACAAAAACATTTTATTCTGTATCCGATCGAATAATTCAGTTTCGTTCATGACTTCAACGCCTGTTCCATAAGAAAATGTCAGAAGTGTCAGTGCACATTGCATAGCACTAGTATTGTCATTCTTCTATCTTGTTATGTGTGTATGCATGCTTCATTGGATAGCGTTAGTATTTTTTCATCTTACCTGTTTGGATGTACCCATGCTTCATTGGCCAAAGTAAGAAACATTTCTAGAACTGAATGTGAGAGTCGATATTCATTGGATAGCGCTGGTATTTTTTCATCTTACCTGTTTGGATGCATGCATGCTTCTTCTTGGCCAAAGTAAGAAATTTATTTAGAACTGAATGTGAGAGTCGATATTCATTGGATAGCGCTGGTATATTTTCATCTTACCTGTATGGATACATGCATGCTTCTTCTTGGCCAAAGTAAGAAAGATATTTAGAACTGAATGTGAGAGTCGATATTCATTGGATAGCGCTGGTATTTTTCCATCTAACCTGTATGGATGCATGCATGCTTCTAGGGAAAAGTAAGAAACATTTTTAGAACTGAATGTGAGAGTCGATATTCATTGCATAGCCCTGGTATTGTCGTTCATCTAACGTGTTTGGTTTGTATGCATGATTCTAGCCATGATGGGGAAAAAACCAAATGCTGCTGCTCGATTGGTTCACGCCGGGGTGAAGAAGGCAAGCGACTGTGTTCACGTTGTCACAGTCATCATTCCTGATGTCCACACATTTTCACAATTTGCCACCAAACTAGCAGAGCTATGCAAGGGCGAGTTACAAGTTCGTGCAGACATCGACAGGTCGCCAGTTGCAGGTATGGATATCTTCAGAACATTTTGAATTCTTTTTAATGAAATATGTAATGTTCATGGTATAGCTTTGGTTTATTGGTATACCAGACATGGCGTGGTTTGTTTGTTGTTTAACGCTGCACTCAGCAATATCCCAGCTATATGGCAGCGGTCTGTAAATTATCGAATCTGGACCAGAAAATCCAGTGATCAACATCGTGAGCATCAACGTTAATCAACCAAGTCAGCGAGCCTTAAAACCCAACCCCATTAGCTTAGTCGCCTCTTACAACAAGCATGGGTTGCTGAAGACCAATTCTGAACCAGATCTAAAGGATTAGAGGGAGATCAACCCCTCGTGGAACAGTGGCTACCTGATAAATATCTAGGCCACCCTACCACACCACAGGTAGATAAGACACAAGTCCACAAAAAAGCCTCGAATCTCTTTTTGCCCCAATATGTTTACAACCATTCTCCTGCAAATTGTCCCACCCCAAAACTATAGTATGACATCAATCATCGCTACACATACAATAGTGAAACCTTGATGTATTTTGAGTATTTATGAAGTGGACATCATAGTTCAGTAACCCATGCTTGTCATAAGAGGCGACTAACGGGATCGGGTGGACAGGCTCGCTGACTTGGTTGACACATGTCATCGGTTCCCAATATTGCGCAGATCGATGCTCATGTTGTTGATCACTGGATTGTCTGGCCCAGACTCGATTATTTACAGACCGCCGCCATATAGCTTGGACATTGCTGAGTGCGGCATAAAACTAAACTCACTCACTCATTCACTCACTCTGTGCACAGGACTGAATTATTCCAAAACATTTATGATTCTCCCCAGATGACCTATGGAAGGGAACCTATGCAGAAAAGGCCCACCAGTCCCAGGTTAGCCGTCTCTCAACGAGAGTTGTGACGATTGACCAGTTTCAATACACCATCACTTCCGACTCTGATGACACCAACCGGAATGCTGCCGAGGAATTTAAGATGGAGCTTACCAAAGATATACCTTCTCACAGTTACATTAAGTTCAATTGAGAAGTTATCTCTCCAAGACACAGAGGAGAAAAGTGTGGCTTTCAAACTCGTGCGACAAGTCCTTGTCAACGTGATTTTATTTCAGTATTGCAGAAATGTAACAATATTATGTTGCATTTACATTTATTCCTGATAATGAATAGTTTCCGTGTGAAACAATATGCTACCACTCTAAACTGGCGAGCAGAAGAAAGTATAACGAGCATTATTATTTTATGTCTTAATTGAAAAATGAATGACACTTGTTAAGTCAAATGTGAATGACACTATGTCTATTTAACCATCACTCACTCCGACCGCGGGCGGTGGGGTAGCCTAGTGGTTAAAGCGTTTTCGATTCCCCACATGGGTACAATGTGTGAAGCCCATTTCTGGTGTCCCCTGCCGTGATATTGCTGGAATATTGCTAAACGCGGCGTAAAACCATACTCACTCACTCACTCCGGCCGCAGTTTGTTAAAGGGAAACTGTGTGTTGGGTAGTTATGATTGTATAAAAATATGTTGTTCAGAGAATACGGGGGTAAATATGAACTTACAATGATTGAAATGTAAATTTGTGAAGAAAAAAGGTTGCTGGTTTTTTTCAGAAAGGTTGTCTGGGATACCCATCGGCAGTTTTGTTTTATGCGAAGGCACTCTCTTCAATTCTTAAATGTTTCAAACCAAATTATTTTTTCCATGAAATATTCTTTGCTTGCTGAGTAAACGATATTACAGATTTTTCGGATATATAGTACACGCATCTATATTCCTTCGTTTAGGTGTATATGTATTGCAATTCTGGGACTATAGTCAATCAACCAGCACGTGTCAACAAGAAACTGAACAAAGCAAAAGGCATACCCCGGGGAACCCATCGTCTTGCTTCAGACGTCATGTTTACACCATGTTTGTGTTGACGGAGAATTGTTGCAAATGTGTACCAATATGTTCTTGTCTGATTGCCTGTGGTTAGACAAATATGATTCAAAATACAGAAGTGTACAACACCGTACAGTTTGTTGTTTACAATAGTGTACATTACAGTACACAGTTTATTGTCCAGTGTACAATATTGTACATTGTGTTATCCAGTGAACAATAGTGTAGGATACCATACATTGTGGTGTTGTCCAGTGTACAATATTGTACATTGTGTTATCCAGTGAACAATAGTGTACGATACCATACACTGTGGTGTTGTCCAGTGTACAATAGTGTACAATATTGTACATTGTGTTATCCAGTGAACAATAGTGTAGGATACCATACATTGTGGTGTTGTCCAGTGTACAATATTGTACATTGTGTTATCCAGTGAACAATAGTGTACGATACCATACACTGTGGTGTTGTCCAGTGTACAATAGTGTACAATATTGTACATTGTGTTATCCAGTGAAAAATAGTGTAGGATACCATACATTGTGGTGTTGTCCAGTGCACAATATTGTACACTGTGTTATCCAGTGAAAAATAGTGTAGGATACCATACATTGTGGTGTTGTCCAGTGCACAATATTGTACATTGTGTTATCCAGTGAAAAATAGTGTAGGGTACCATACATTGTGGTGTTGTCCAGTGTACAATATTGTACATTGTGGTGTAATCCAGTGAACAATAGTGTACAATACCGCACAAAGTTGTGTTGTTCATTCTTACAATAGTGTACAATACAATTTTTTTAATCTATGGTAGGTACTCAAAGTTTTGACAGTTCACACGGTTAAATTGCTAGCATGTTATCGTCAGCTAGCAGGAGGAGTACAAAAGGTCAGATAGTTCGGAATTTGTTGTCTCCCCTCATGACCGTATCCAAAATAATGTTCACTTCAATGTGGCCAAGGTCTAAATTATCACACTACAAATCTGTGCCATATCATGCTTATGAAAACAATCGTTTTTAACACTAAGTGCTAAAGAAGTATCAACTTATAATTACAAATATGAAGCCTATTGAAAGCAAAAATGCGATAGATGTAGCAATATGAAAGCAATTGTTTAAACCCTTGTTCAACACTGTATGTTTGATAATAAAGCAAGATGTACTCCATGTTTTATTTCATGTTATTATTGAGTAGTTTGGGCTGTTGGGTAGATTTGGTGGCTGACACGACTGTGCTATCTCTTCATGCAGCTTATGTATGTCCTATGAGATGACTTAACGTCAAGGATGGGTTAGCCTAGTGGTTTGCGCGTCCGCTCGTGACGCTGAACACCAGGGTTCGACACCCCACATGGGTACAAAGTGTGCAGCCCATTTCTGGTGACCCCCGCATTGATATGCCTGGAACATTAGCTAAGAGGAGTGTAAAACCATACTCACACACCCACTCACACACTAACTTAACGTCAGGCTCGGTGACTTTGTGTATGGCATGCCACTATATCCAAATGGCGTTTAACGTTTCTCATAACACCAACCACTACTTGTACTGGTAAATGACGTAACTGAAGGCTTGAAAAATAGTAGAGGATTGACCATGTATGTAGAGACACTCATGGTCCCGCATTATCAATTAGCATTAGTCAAGTGTTATGTACATACAAGCGAGGAAACTTACTCTTTGTTAACTTTTTGTTTCAATTTTGAAATTGACACGTAACAATTATTTGAAGTGCCCCTTCTGCATCAGCCACATTTGATTCTCCATTTTCTACAGATGTTGCCCTTTCATTTTCGTCTTCACATTGTTTTTATCTCAAAAATAGGTATCTTAAAAATACCTCAGTTTGTGTATAATGATAGTCATTTGCCATATATAAGTCCAGACATTATTACCCCCAGTCAATGGATCAATATGCACTACAACCCATGCTGCATGTTAGGCGCTAAAAGGTTAACAGTCGTGCGACCATCCACCGGGTACCCATACACTGCTGGGTGGATAGAAGTAATTTTGAAAGTCACTTGCCTAAGGCGTGGCCACATGCGTTACATGTGCTTTGTTGTGGGTCAGGAATAGAGTCCCACAAACTCTCAGGAGGTTACCCATCGAAGGAGTCTGCGCGACTAGCGTGGCTTAACTTCAATAGATTTGTGACCTGTGCTCATGAGGGAAACGCACCACAACAACATTAATATGTGCATAATAATTGTGTAAGCATGTAGATAACTGCATGCTCTTGATTTTAATCATTACATGTACATATGTACTTGATGAAAATGTAAAAGGTTTAAAAACATATATGTATAATCAGCCGTTCACGGCCTGAACTGAAATACAGAACGTTTCTGTTCCGACGACCGTAGCCCCCACCGCCTCCTGCGTCTCCTCAACAGATCGTATTCATGTGCTACTTTGATAACATTCCAGGGCATGTCATGCACATTTGTATACACGCATAAAGCTCGTCAGTCGTGCAGTGTATCAATTTCTATACACCGCGGATTTAACACTACAAAAGGTTTATCGGTGTTTCACACAACCAATGTCCTAATATCAGCCGTGTAAACATTCAGCTGAGTGGAACTTCAGCAAATGTGCTACTATATACCACAATATTTCAATACACAACTTAACCCGTGAAGGTCCGGGTTAGAATATTGTCTTCAGTAACCCCTGCTTGTCGTAAGAGGCGACTAACGGGATCGGGTGGTCAGGCTCGCTGGCTTGGTTGACACATGTCATCGGTTCCCAATGGCGCAGATCGATGTTCATGCTGTTGATCACTGGATTGTCTGGTCAAGACTTATTTACAGACCGCCGCCATATAGCTGCAATATTGCCGAGTGTGGCGTACAACTAAACTCACTCACTCACTCAATACGCAACTTCCTGCATGAGGAATTCCTTTAATCCCCATGTGTCACTGGACGTTTACGTGCAATGTGACGTGCTTGCAATTGTTCAGACGTTTATAACTTCTCTGAAACCCACGAACCTTTATGTACTGACAAAGGATCATAAACGGGATTAATTTCAATTGGTTTTCAAAGACTACTTACGGAGTTGAATTTAACCAGCAAACACAATTCCAAACAGAACATCAAGCATGGAACAATAGAGGGAACAATAGAGCCAAAAGGAGATTTTGTTTCTGTCAAAATGTCTGTAATCGGTGCCCAGACAATAAGAATATATAATAATGATCATAATTTAATAGTAATAATCTATTTATAAAGCGCCTAATATCCACCATCGAGATGCTCAGTGGCATCAATATACGTCAATATACACCCATAGTATCTTCTCATCAGCTTTCAGCACTTATGTTTCAGTAAAATACAATTTATTGATGTATTTTTATCTTTGAAATGCTTCAGTCCCGAATCAAGTTTCCTTTACAAAGACGCTTCTAGGATATTAGGATCTTTGTTCTGTACTCATAGCTACCCCTGTCCTTAACCTCCATGAAAACATATCATGTTACATATTTAAGCTTGTCTGTAGATTGTATTCAGTTTGAAGTATGGACCGATATACGCTTCTATTGAATATTTAAGTTCTGCTTCAATAGGGACTTCTCAAGCGAGGACGGCGGAATAGCCATGTGGATAATGTCTTCGCTCGTCACACGAAACTCGGGTTCTATTCCCCATACAATGTGTGAAGCCCATTTCTAGCATAGGCGGATCCAGTGTGTGGGTGGGGAGGGGAGGGAGGAGCGCAACCACCCCACCCCTTTTTGCCCTGAAAGTGTATTAAATGACCATTGAAACTCGGGTGAATATGCAGTGTGCACCCATCCTTTTCTCAATAGTGTGCGCCCCACCTTTCTCAAAAGCTGTATCCGTCCCTGTGTCCCTGTCTAGTGTCCCACGCCGTGATATTGCTGGTACATTAATTTGCTAAAAGCGGTAGTAAAACTAAACTCAGTCACTAACTCAAGCGCACGTTGTCTCGCCTAGTTAAATGTACGAGTGTGTATTCAATCTCACACTAGCAATCTCCCTGTCATTCGACATAGGTACTCCCAGTAAATAAGAACAACCATCTGGTCATACGCTAAGGGTCATGAGCTTGGTCTTTAGGTCGAACCATACTCATTCAATGTGCACCATTTAAAATAATGTTTAAAACACAACTTTAAACAAGTTACAAATGCCAACAAATAGAACGATATTCTTGCGGTGTGACCAAGCAATTTATTGCACTGAATTGATCTTTCTCTTTTATAGCTGTTTAATCATGGACAATAGCATGTCCTATTTGTCATTGTCTTTCTCTGAAATTAATATTAATATTAATATCACAAGTACTTGCAAAGACCCTCCTGAACGGGAAAATAAAATAACTACCAGGAAAGGCCATTTCTGTACTAATATAATAGCTCAAGTACTTGAAGACATTCTATAGCACAAGAAAATGGCATATGGCTTAAACTACTATTTACAACGCTAAAAAAGCCAACCAACGTGTATTTTAAACAACAATAAATATATTTACAACCATTATGAGTACCAAACAACAGGACATGCATGCACACATTTACCAAAACAAGGAACAAGCTTATGAACACTTACTTATCAAAGCATGTTGCAATTTAATGTACAGAGATTTATCGTCACCGAGTGGGACAAACGTACACTGTGCATAAATGGACTTGTCAAGAACAACAATCGGGGTTTCTAAAATGCTTTCTGATTAGACACGGGTCCATATCATAATTATCATGATACATACACCCTACTCCCCTTTAACCAACCCTCTACCACCCCTTTAACCCTTCTCAGACCCTTGAAGATCCGGGTCACAATTGGTCTTCAATAACCCATGCGTGTCGTAAGAGGCGACTAACTGGATTGGGTGGTCAGACTCGCTGACCTAGTTGACACTTTATTATTTTCAGATGGCCACTATATAGCTGGAATATTTCATCAATAGGACAGTCATTGCGAGTTCAACATTGTATCATATGATAACAGCAAGCAAGTAGTCAAAGAGGATAAATGCACCGTTCAAGCACAACATCGAGCTTGTAAACTGTATCCTGATTTCATATTGTCAATATTATCCTATAACATTGTTCAACATCCGTAGCATCTCCAACAATCAACAGCTTCAAGGTCGACTCGTCCTCGTAGATCAAAACTCTGTCAGCTAAGACTGGCTCCTTCTTTGCCATCGTGTTCTTCACCAGTGTTGGACCCATGGTCGTTATTCGGCTGGGGAGAGGCGCCTTTAGTGTTTTCTTGAATTTCCCATTTGAAGGTGCAGGCACCCCTGTGGTGCTCCGTTGGGTACGTGTGAGACGGGACCCGTCATCTGTGACCCGTGTTGAACACGCTGCATGTGTGAACACACGATTCACAAAGTGTCTACAGTGAGGTATATCCTGAAGAACTTTGGTCATCTGACTGGAGAGAAAACAGGACTGTGATGCGTCCATCTGCTCTGTTTCAGGTGGGATTCCATGTGCATTATTCTGCGAACTTCGCATGTCAGCAATTTTCTTCTTGCACTTGTCGACACCAACCTTGGCACCAGTTATCATTAGCTGGGAACTCTTTAGTGAAACTTTTACTTTTTCCTCTGAAAGTGACTTCTCAACGTCACGCAGTTCTGCATTCTGCATCCAAAATGTTCTTGTTTCTTCCTTCGTCAACAAAATAGTTTCTTCCGAGTAAGTGTAATCTTGCAGAAAACGTTTTATCCCTTTAAGGACTTCAGCTGCAATGTCTTTTGTACTGGAAACAGTCAGCACCTTCTGTGAATCATCTGCTTCGATGAGCATTTTGCTTGACAGATTCTGCAACAAACGTTTCATTATTGTTCTTGCTTCGGATGGTCTCAAATAACCACCCACTGGATATATTTCAAAGTCAATATCCTTCTTCTCGATACAGTTCTTGAGGATATTTTCAACCCTCTGGTCATCTATTCCAGTGGCGTCCATGTATTGCACTGCACCATCCGCTGTAGCCTTCACCTGGACACCATCTGACATCATCTTGTTTAAAATATGCGTCCTCGCTTCCGGGCACGATTGCAACAGATTTTGCATATATTTTTTTACTGTCAGGTCTTTCCAGTTCCTTTGACTGACCATTTGGAAAGGGACCGGCGTGACGGGAGGAGACATTGGGGATTGTGGTCCTTCACATGACTCTCTTCTCACTCTGCCTGTACTATCTTTATACACATTCTCGAATTGTTTCACTGCTTCGTCAAATACATCCTTTGTTGCAGTTATTGAAAAGGTACCTGTGGAAATGTCAATTTCTACTAACATTTTCTCGTGGCATGGTAACGTGCGGTTCAAGAGGTCCTGTTTCAAATCAAAGAGGCTCTTCCCTATGACACTGTTTCTGCGCACTCGGATGTCCCTTGTCTTGACCAGTGATGAGAATTCCCGTGCTATCTCCCTATGCTCTCCTGGGGCGACTAAAACAAATTCATTTGCCTGAGTATCAAGTTCAAAGTCGACGTGATCGCTTTTTGCCACGCTCATTTCAACATACTCTTTAGCTCTTGGTCGAGACTGTAGCAGCTTTTGCTTCTTTCCTTGAAATCGCAACTGCAAGAAACATAGTTCAGGGGAGGACAAATACTCATCAAGTTGGGTGTTGAAGTCTCGTATTGCATCCCTTGTTCCAATGACAGTAATTGCCTGTTTGTCTGTACTTTGTGAAATGTTGATTTTTCCCGATGCCAACCGCGCTCCAATCTGCTTTATGCTCTCCCAATGCTGCTTGACCTGTTTAAATGATCTGTCGTCAAGTTTGATTGCACCATTTTCATATTTGGACATCTGTTCTTTCAGATGGGATTCAGCTTGAGGCAAAGCATCATCAGTGGCAATGATTGATATACATTGGTTTGCTTCATCAGAGAAGAACATGGCCTTGCCGGGAAATCTTAACTGACAATACTCATTACAATCGGTCACTACTTCAGCATTTGTAAGAACTTTCAAAATATTACTGTCTTTAAGATCCCATGTGATTTGTTTAATACACTTAAGATATATGTCATTAAACATATCAAGATGCCCTTTTGTCCCGGCCAATAGAAGGAGCTTGTTTTCTTCTGGGGTAAATGTACAGGTGATACCTTGAAGTTTGCTTTTCAGAATGAGATGATTACGTGCTTGGATGTTGTCTCTGAGAAAGGGAACAACATGTCCCTCCAATTGGACGCTTCTTCTGTGTTGTAACTTTGTAAATGTATCTTCCATGCTTGAGTCGTCCACAGAGCTGGATGAGGATGAAGAATACGACACTCCAGTAAGCAGTTTATGAGTTGCTTCAGTCACCATCTTCTCATTAGTTTTGCTTGTGACCACAGCAATGCCAGTGCGTGTCACAAAACATGTTGCTTTCCCTGACACGAATATTGATGAATCACATAGTTTTTTATGTAGGTTATGTCTCCGGTTCTCTTGTACTGGACGTTGAATTAAACAAAGACAAGATGCAGTGTCCTGAAATATTTTTTGTATGGTTCTCACCCCAAATAATCTTCGAGAAGGAGATCTATAACCATTCCCTGTGCAGATTGCCTTGATTTCATCAGCGCTGATGGTTGTGATTCGTTCTGTATTATTCAGCTTTAACTTCCCATCTAGCTCCGACAAGACGCCTGTGTCAGCTTTAATGTGACGCCATTGCCATACCTGTAACTCCAGTTGGTTGGTCTCATCACCGAACTGTGCCCCGAGTGATTCAAAGATTATTCTTAAGGTGCACTTCTTTGTATCTACAACAGAACAAGCACGTGTGTGTAAAGCCCACTCTCATTAGACATCAGGGGCGGCGGGGTGGCTTGTGGTTAAAGCGTTTGCTTGTCATTAAAACGAGAACCTGGACTTTAAAATCTGCTAACAAAACGACCAACTGCACCGATGTCTACCAGGATATAATAGACCTTATCAAGGGGCGATGGGGTAGCCTAATGGTTAAAGCAGCCGCTCGTCATGCCGAAGACCCGGGCTCGATTCCCCACATGGGCACAATGTGTGAAGCTCATTTCTGGTATCTCCCGCCGTGATATTGCTGGAACATTGCTAAAAGTGGCGTTAAATTATACTCACTCACTCATTAGACATCATGAAATAAAGATGCAGCCAAGTCATGACCTAACACCTTCTTCACAAATGATGATTATGACTCAAATATACTCACTCTAGTATTTGTCTATCACGAAAGAGCCGCTATATGGCTACGATATTGTCCATACGACGCCACTATAAACTTACTGAGATGTGTATATAAATGTATGATGCAGTGCCTGAAGTCTCCATCTTCCTTCTGGTCAGATATGTTTTACATTTACACATTATATCTGTATTCTAATTGGATGAGCAATGGTCATGTGACCTTCTTATATTACAGTATTGCTCTGAGACCTGCAACGAAGAATGTTCAGCCTATCAACGCGATTGCAGTGAGTGAGTAAGTATGGTTTTACGTCGCTTTTAGCAAGATTCCAGCATTATAAAGACGGGTGACACCAGAAATGGGTTTCACACATTATACCCACGACGGAAATCGAACCCATGATGAGCAAACGCTTTAACCACTAGGCTACCCCACCTCCAACATCGCGACTGTAAAGTAGATTTGTCGTGTACCATCTCCAATGACATCTGATTCAATGATTGTTGACTTTACAATGTTGTTTTCTGTGTTATGTAAATAAACAGTTACTGACCGCAATTATGGAAAATATTCTATATATTAGACCAAATAAACCGGTATTGACTGAGGCATCGTTAACTGATAAGTGATGTATCTGATGTCTCAACACTCACCTTCCGGTTGGAAATGATACGTCTCCTCCAATCCGCCATTCCTTTGACTGTAGCGCCTTTGAAGTGCCATCGTATTCTTAAAAGAGACAATTTAGTTGATGAAATGATAGTGTATAACTCTACATGGAGGAGTGAGTGAGTGAGTGAGTTGGGTTTTACGCCGCTTGTAGCAATGTTCCAGCAATATCACGGCGGGGGGACACCAGAATGGACTTCACACATTGTACACAGCCATGTGGTGAATCTAAGGTCATAAATGGGTAGCCCTAAACACTAAAATGTCCTTTTCATCCGTAATAACTGTGAATAACACTGTCGGAGAAGGTCAAAAGAAAAGAAAAGAAAAACGCTAATTGTGGAAGTCATACTATTTTTAACTATTTTTAATTCACCATTCTCGAAACAAACATGGTATTAAAAGGACTTAAACCATGGCAAAAGAGACGGACATTCGTCTAGGGGAGATAACTCCATCGTCAATCAAGCGCGCGGCAAATCAACCCAGCATCTACACGTATATCTCAAGAGCAGTCATGACGAGTAATATCTAAACCTGGATCTGCAAGGGGCGGTGCATAAAGCCCTTCATTGTGACATGCAATGCAGGTGACCCGAGTCGCGATAAGGCCACGTTCTCGAGGAATACTGTCTGCTGTGAAAGGCGGTTTGATACAGGGTTTTTATACGGGACTCAACAGTGTCTGCGTGTCTGATTACGCAGCACTGTGTTATGAATTCAACTTGCAACAACAAACGATTTCATATTTTGATTTTTTTCTTCTTATTTTCGTTACAACAACGGTTTTACCTGTGTGCATGACAAGTATTGCGTGTGATTATATTGATTATTTTGATTTTCTCTCCTGGATGTAACACCGTGGAAAGGCGTGAGATGTAACGGTTCACAAGTAAAACGAGATTGTACATTTGAATTATTCACTTATAAAGACAGTGAATCAAGTAAATTAAAATCTAAAGTCGCATCGGCAATACCACAGCCATATAACCAGGTTTATTCATATACACAAAAGCGTTCGCTCGTCGACCACGCTGGATACCCGGGTTCGATTCCCCACATGGGCACCATGTGTGATGCCCATTTATCGTGTCCCCCGCCGTGATATTGCTGTAATATTGCAAAAATCGGCCTAAAACCATACTCACTCACTCTGCTAACATCTGTTTACAAATCTTATCTTGCTCAACAATTGTGCAAATTGATTAATGAATCACTGTGTAAAAGGAACATGTTTTTGAGTCAGTAATTACTGTGTCAAAATGAATACCCGTAAAGCCATACCCACTCACTCACTCACTCACTCACACGTGGCTACAGACACATGATTGCAAAGCCTGTTCACAATAAAGGCATGATGCATTATGGATGACATCGATCTTGTTGTCAACGGTATAAGGATCAATACCGAAGCGTCGCATCGCATCAGAGTGAGTGCGTGAGTTTAGTTTTACGCCGCACTCAGCAATATTCCAGCTATATGGCGGCGGTCATCACATCAGAATAAGGAGGTGTCTTCATTACAGTATCCTGCCTTTATCAACAAAAGTGTTAAGCTTTGAAATGATCTTATCATATGATGGTGTAGGGAGCATGAGATGAGGTTAAGATTATATGATGGTGTTGAGAACATGTGATGATGTTAAGATCATATGATGGTGTTGGGAGCATGTGATGGGGTTAAGATCATATGATGGTGTTGGGAGCATGTGATGAGGTTTAGATCATATGATGGTGTTGGGAGCGTGTGATGAGGTTAAGATCACATGATGGTGTTGGGAGCGTGTGATGAGGTTAAGATCATATGATGGTGTTGGGAGCATGTGATGGGGTTAAGATCATATGATGGTGTTGGGAGCATGTGATGAGGTTTAGATCATATGATGGTGTTGGGAGCGTGTGATGAGGTTAAGATCACATGATGGTGTTGGGAGCGTGTGATGAGGTTAAGATCATATGATGGTGTTGGGAGCATGTGATGAGGTTAAGATCATATGGTGGGTGGGGTTGGGAGCATGTGATGGGGTTAGGTTCATATGATGGTGTTGGAAGCATGTGATAAGGTTAAGATCATATGGTGGTGTTGGGAGCATGTGATGGGGTTAAGATCATATGGTGGTGTTGGGAGCAGGTGATGGGGTTAAGATCATATTGTGGTGTTGGGAGCATGTGGTGGGGTTAAGATCATGATGGTGTTGGGAGCATGTGGTGGGGTTAAGATCATATGATGGCGTTGGGAGCATGTGATGAGGTTAAGATCATATGATGGTGTTGGGAGCATGTGATGAGGTTAAGATCATATGATGGTGTTGGGAACATGTGGTGGGGTTAAGATCATATGATGGCGTTGGTAGCATGTGATGAGGTTAAGATCATATAATGGTGTTGGGAGCATGTGATGAGGTTAAGATCATATGATGGTGTTGGGAGCATGTGATGAGGTTAAGATCATATGATGGTGTTGGGAACATGTGATGAGGTTAAGATCATGTAATGGTGTTGGGAACATGTGATGAGGTTAAGATCATATGATGGTGTTGGGAGCATGTGGTGGGGTTAAGATCATGATGGTGTTGGGAGCATCTGGTGAGGTTAAGATCATATGATGGCGTTGGGAGCATGTGATGAGGTTAAGATCATGTGATGGTGTTGGGAGCATGTGGTGGGGTTAAGATCATATGATGGTGTTGGGAGCATGTGGTGGGGTAAACATCATATATATCAATGCCATCTTAGAGCCAAAGCGCCTGTGAGCGGTTTACTGATATTGGCGCTATACAAGTATTTGTATGTATGTATGTATGTATGTATGTATGTATGTATATGATGGCGTTGGGAGCATATGATTGGTATATATCATGTGAAGGGGCTTGTAGCATGTGATGGGGTAAACATCATGTTAAGGATGCGTAGAGGATGCGTAGGAACGTCTTAACTATGTCCTGTTCCCTTTAGTGGATCGGAGGAAGGTGGCAGCAGAATCATGTATACATGACGCTGGTGATAGACTGGGTGTATACATGCATTTTCAATAGTGTTTTCCAACACAACCAAGCGAAATCAACAGCTGTGTTTACACCACGACACAACTATCCACCTCTGAATAGGTGAACTATTCATGGAGTATCATGCTTTCGATATGTGAAATCTGACAGTCATAAAAATATATCATATGTTTCAACAATCTTCCTATGTACTATGCCTAATGAAATATAACGTAACAATAAACACACATCACAAGTAAACCGTATCAAACTTACCGTCCTTGTTCAATGGCCGCCGCTCTTGTGATAAGGGTAGATGTGAGTTGTCGCTATTAATAAACTCAACCTATCACAGGTGTTCAGGCTGGGTCTGTGTGAAGCTTGGGCCATGACGTCTCAGCTATCTGTTGTGCTGAACTTTGTAATGAATGAAAAGTGAAAGTACGGCATGGTTCACCTTTAACAGGAATCGATTGTTTGAATTACTGAATGAAAAGTGAAAGGAAGGCATAGTTTGCCTCAAACAAGAATAGAAAATGTTTAAATTACTGGATCACGATGTGATTGTAACTATTCATGGTGCACTTCTCCTATACACGAATACACTTAAGTTTCTCATTGTACAACCTGGTTAACTGAACAAATAGTTCAATGCTATATATCTGTCACATTCATTAGTTGAATGCATATTTATAGACTCACATGATCAGAATCATGACCCTCGACTTCCTCAAAAATGACAAGGATTTTCAAGGAAGGTACTTACATCATAGGCAAAGGAGTAAACAGCCTTATCAAGAGTATATATTGGAGTCTTCATATTAACGCCCTATAACAGTTGGCACTAACAGATAATCAGATTGTATTAAACATATGCCACACAGCAAGTGACACAAACAGGTAATCAGACTGTATATAATTTAAGCCAAACAACAATTGACACAAACAGATAATCAGATTGTGTTTAATCTAAGCCAGACAACAATTGACACAAACAGCTAATCAGACTGTATATCATTTTAGCCAAACAACAATTGACACAAACATAATCAGACTGTATTTAATTTAAGCCAAACAACAATTGACACAAACAGATAATCAGATTGTATCTTATTTACGTCTCATATTTTCCATTTGTGTCTTGTGGATTTTATAATATACTCATGCCAAACATGGTTGTCACCCCCTTCAATTATATTTATTGGAGAGGGTGGGGGTTTGGGTGGGTGGGGGTGACAACCATTATTGGCATGAGTATATCTAAATACTGTCACCGGTAAGGATCCGGGTTAGAATTAGCCTTCGGTAAACAATATTTTAGTTAGAGGCGGCAGTGCATGTCGTAAGAGGAGACTAACGGGATCAGGTGGTCATCGTATCCCAGCTGTTTAAGTTAATGTTCATGATGTCATACACTGGATTGCCTTGTCCCGGCTCATGTATTTACAGACCGCCGTCGTATAAATCGATTAATGCTAAGTGTGGCGTGAAAAAGGTAAAACAAAACAAAACAAAAAAAACCAAACTGTATCTTTACCACAAGTCATTATCACTTAAATCGCCATTGCAGCCTACGTCACTTTGACCCTGACACTGTTTGCAATGCCATATCTAAATGTACGAGCTTACCATGCACACAACACATGCTGCCAAAACTGTGATCACATGGATGGTTATGAGTTTATTCTTCAACCTCAGACTGATTTATTTGATAAAAAACACTTTATCAATCCACATCATGGGGTCATTATGTACGTATAAGTAACACTATGGGGGACAGGTGAGTGAGTGAGTTGGGTTTTACGCCGCACTCAGCATTATTCCAGCTATATGGCGGCGGTCTGTAAATAATCGAGTCTGGACCTGACAATCCAGTGATCATCAGCATGAGCATCGATCTACGCAACTGGGAACCGATGACATGTGTCAACGAAGCCATTGAGCCTGCCCACCCGATCCCGTTAGTATGGGGGATAGGTGGTTGTATGGTATACATGTATGTTGGGGTGAGTGTAAGTGAGTTTAGTTTTACGCCGCACTCAGCAATATCCCTGATATATGGCGGCGGCCTGTACATAATCGTGTCTTGACCAAACAGTCTAGTGATCCACAGCATGAGCATTGATCTACGCAACTGGGAACCGATGACATGTGTCAACCAAGTCAGCGAGCCTGACCACCCGATCCCGTTAGTCGCCTCTTACAAGCATAGGTTACTAAAGACCAGTTCTAACCCGGACCTTCACGGGATACATATGTTGGGTAGGTGACATAAAGGCCGTATGAAGATACACACCACTCTGCAGTACATTATAACACAGCAGTCACCCACCAACTTTTCCTTTCGTTTTGTATTGATAGCGCTTACGTAATACGTTCCCAATGGCGACTGTTGCTTCGTAAGTAAACATATATAGCAATGCAATCGCAACGGCTTTTACCCCAGCAATACGCAGTCACGCCATAACGAATCGGAACAGAGCTATCGAAATATTGATCTAGCATGTCTGTTCAGATGTAACACATTGTGTGCGGTCTTACAGAAAATGTAGAGAATTCACATTCAACAGGGTTGGAGAATTCCATTCAATGGCGTTTTCAGCAATAGTATCATATACTGAGGAAAACAAATAAGGGAACAACGCTTCATCTCAGTGTTCCTTTATTTGGGCTATTCTCAGATTTTCACCCACAGTACAATACAAATACATGTATTGTGAAGAAACCTGGAAAAGGATAAATGAACAGTTTGCTTTCAAAGGTTACCTTATTTGTTTCCCTCAGTATATGAATCTCAACAGCATATTAGTAGTGTGGGGCCCGTTCCTCAAAGCGGTCGTGGCGAAGCGAAACTTACGGAGGTCGCAGCTATGAGTGTTCATCGGAAAGGGTGTTTTGGGTTAGACTAAACCGAAGTTTTAGCACCTGTGTGCTGCAGATATATAACGGCGGTCTGTAAATAATAGGACCTGGACTAGACAATCCAGTGACTGACATCACGTGCATCCGATCGACCCACCCATTTGGAATACGATGACATGTACCAAAGTCAGGATACTGACCACACGACCGTACGTGTTAGTCACCTCTTGCGACAATCATGGGTTGTTGAATACCATTTCTTCCCATTGTCTTCATGTGTCATATGTTAAAATGAGAACCTGGACTTTATAATATGCAGACAAAACGACTAGCTGCACATGTGTCTACTAATTGCATAAGTACATATCGAGCATAAGAGTCCTCCTTATCAAGGGGCGGTGCAGTAGTCTAATGGTTGTAGCGTCCGCTCGTCATGTTGAAGACCCGGGTTCGATTCCCCAAATGGGTACAATGTGTGAAGCCCATTTCTGGTGCCCCCCGCCGTGATGTTGCTGGATTAGTGCTAAAAGCGGCGTAATACTAAACTCTTTTTACGGCCCATTTCTGGTGTCCCCAATCGTGATACTGCTGGAACATTGCTAAAAGCGGCGTAAAAACATATTCACGCAATCACTCCTCATCACGATATACTGTTCTCGTGTCACAACTATGTGCCCGGATAGTTATACTGATAAACATACCGGCAAGGCAGCAACCAGCAGCCATATTCATATCGCTGGCTGGGACCTCGTCCCGTGGATCAAAGTATCTTTCTCAAGAGGGTAACTGATCATAAAGCAAGTTCTGTGTCAGCAGCTATGCATATCTACCTGCAGGAAAATGACCTTGATCAAAGTTGTATGTGACCCCGTGAGTGTTGATCAATGGAGTCTGCGTAACAATAGGCAATAAAATTATTGGAGTTATTTTTAGGCCGGTATGGAGGTAGTTATTCTTGGAGAATCCATGGAGAATGGAGACTGTACTGATTCGACTGCATCATGTGAATCACTATCAGTGAGTGAGTGAGTTTAGTATTACGCCGCACTCAGCAATATTCCAACTATATGGTGTCGGTCTGTAAATAATCGAGTCTGAACCAGACAATCCAGTGATCGACAGCATGAGCATCGATCTACTCAATTGGGATACGATATTTATTTATTTATTTTTTATATTTATCTATTTTATATTTATTTATGTATTTGTTTATTCATTTATCTATTTATTTATTATATTTATTTGGAATGGGATCTCTCTTACTCGTAGTCATTATCGGACTATATTTTTTAAATACATTATTCGAACTCAATTATTCTAACCTGTTCAAGACATGTTTCTACTTTAGATGCACAAAAAAAAGAATCTTACATAGAATATGTACTATCTTTGTAAAATATTGTTTTATCATATCATCATTTAAATTTGCATTCACAATCATAAACCAACTCTGTCTGTATTTATTGTTGTATTTTAACATCATATTTACAGCCAGCTTTAACAGATATCATTTATTCACAGGAAACTTAAAGAATAAGGATTATTTCATCACTATATCTACTCTTTGGCAAAAGGTGTTGCTGTATCGAAGCATGATTTGTTAACATGCTCTTTTCTTGGATTGTTTTAATGGAGATGTCATTATAGTAATATGTTTATTGATAAATAAATCTGTCCTCCCTGTATTAGCCTAGATGTGATACAATTTGTAAAGTAGTTTTATATATCACGATAAAAATTACCAGATTTAACTTTGTATTAATAATAATAATAGCATGCTTGTAATGCGCTATTTTCCATGTACAACATGCTCAAAGCGCAAGGATAATTACCTATCTGTTTAAACGGTTGGATAAGCAGAGCAACTATCCATACACATTTTCCCTAAACTCATGGCTGTGGTAGGTTTGCATTTTGTGTTATCATGGAACTCTAGATGTCTACAAAGAGTTTATTAGAATGGTTTAATTTGAATACGATGAATCCATATGAATGATCTGAGAAATAGCTATTGCCATGCTTGTTCTGTTATCTTTTTTTCGTATTTTCGATTATTTTTTCTTTACATCAGTTATATTAAAATAACCTCGATCATTTTCTTTCAAAAACTCGAAATTCATATTTTTTGTCTCTTCATTCCATTTATAATTCCACTATGTAATACCAGAGACCAAATGACAAACTCTATTAAATACAGTCTCTAGTAATAGAGTTGTTTTTTGGGGGAACCGGTAACAGTATATTTACCACGAATGATCAAGACATCATACCATTTTATACGTTATGATATTTAAACTGCCGTGTAGTAACACTTTGCTATATACCACATCACCAAATTGTAAACTGGATTTATTTGCAAGCAAGCGGGCTTGGATGTTAAGAAATTGGAGTTACCTCCCCTAGTGCGTCGTCTGCTCGTCTGCTTTATTCGGTAATGGTAGAAGAATGAGTGCCAAATTATTTATCGGGCATAACAATAGCTGACATGCCACCAACTATACAACATATTCGTGAAATATTATATACATATTATGTAATGTGATATCAACAAAGAAGTAAGCACTGCTTGAATGTCTAATCTTTCGGTTGAAGATAATATTGAGGTCATATATGTCATGTTAGATTCACGACAATTTTGTGGTGTATTTTATAGTGTATTTGTTTATGCATGTAAACATACAAACGTGGCTTGATTTGCCTTATAACTGACAATGTCGATGTTTCGTCAAATTAATGCGGATCTTTTAATTCGCCGTCTTTCGTCCCTCTCCGGTATTCTTCGTTGTCACGAGTGCATATATGACCTAAATAAACTAACAAGCGATTGGAAAGCGACAGTCAGAAATACCATCATTGAGATTGCACATGCAATCTATATATGGACAAAACGAACGGTTTTATTATTGTATATTTGTTTACGGGTTTATTAGTTTTTATTAGAAGCGCAGCATGCATATAGAAAAGATATACGATGGAAACATCTTTATACTACGGGAAATAACTGCTCTTGAGAATAACTGTACGTCTGGGGAAAACCAAGCAGCCATTTATATACCGTATTTTAGGATAGTTGATTGGTCGAATTTGTTCATGTGACGAGTGGCAACTTTCACTTTCGTTTCAGCGAAATCGATGTTTCAGAAGAAGAGGTCCAACTCTGAGTCAAGTCTGGACGCCTTCTTGGCTTGGTGTCTTCGAACATAATCAGGTGAGTGTCATTAAGCAGATGTTTAGTCGTACTGAAATGTGCATTGTGATGAGGTTTTACTATGGTAAGCGTCAAATCGTGCAATTTCAATCAAACATTCCTTCTAACCAGCAGAATTGGTAATTCATCTCTCAGACCATATACTTTCCAAACCGAAAATAGAAATACTCTTTTATAATTACATATTCTTGTAGTAATATCACGTTAAAAAGCATATGGACGTTTTGCCTACTTTATGCAATCTGACAAAAATGTACTAAAATATATACTGTATTCTATTTAGCAAAAAGTGTCATTACAAAAGTTACATATGTGGTTAATCGAGGAAGTGTTATCCAGACAGTGATGCAAAAGAATAGTGTTTGTTTTAGTATTTCTGAACATTTACAACATTGACTCAAATTACAAACTGATAAAGAATTTTTTTTAGAGAAGATACCTTTGTATAAAGTTCATACTGATATTATTTTTTAGTTTGAGTTTAATGGTATTGTTTAATTTCACTTTCGGTTTATCAAAGAGAAAGTAGACAATATGGATGCAATCTAACTGGTTATTCAAGGTTAAGTCTAATGCTGGCAGTGTGCCAAGGGAGGCAACTCATCTAGGATAGATAAAACACATAATTGTTACTCAGCTTTAATCTAAAGCTAAACAAATGTATGTTTACAAGCAAGAAAAATCACAAAAAGATGGGAACTTTTATTTGTGAATTGTGGTATCAGGTAAATGCTGATAATATATGGGGTAAAACATTTTTACGTAATAAACCAAACAGCCAGTTTTATCTTTTCTCACCTAAAGGCTAAGTACAAGACAAAAGTACAGATATTGTCATTTCTCACTAGAAGTACAGGAACATAGAAATTCGATGTTTCAGGAGAAGAGGGCCAACTTGGAAACAAGCTGTGGACGTCTTCTTTATCTGGTGTCATCGAATATATTCAGGTAGGTGTCAATACGCAGATGTTTAGTCGTACAAGAATGGGTGTTGTGTTGAGTTTATATTCTGATTGTATTATCACATCATGAACTTTCAATCAAACATTCCCTCTAGCTAGCAAAATTGGTCATTCTGTATTCATTTCTCAGGTCATACTTTCCAATCTGAAAATAGAAATACTCTTTCATAATTACAGTGTCTTGAAGTTACGTCATATTAAATAGCATATGGACGGTTTGCATACTTTATTGAATCTGACATAATGGTACTAAAACATATTGTATTTAACAAAAAGTGTTAGTACCCCAGTTACATATGTGGTTCATTGGAGAACTGTCATACAGGCAGTGATGTGACAGAAAAGCTTTGGCTTGATTTTGCACACAATCATGATTATAATTTATATGTTGTTTAAAGTATATTTTAAAATGACATGTTTATACAAGCTAATGCAGACAATTTGTTAATTTTAAATTTTGACATTGCATTTGAACTCCACTTTCAGTTTATCAAAGAGAAAGTAGACAATATGGCTGGTACCTAACTGGCTCAAATCTGATGCTGGCAATGTGCCAATAGAGGTGTCACTGCTGGGATTGGCCCAAAGTATCTGTTGTTGCACAGCTATTTTCTGGAGCTAAAGAGAGGTAAATTCATAAACAATATCTATGAAATGATGTGAACTATTGGCTGTGTATTTTGTGTATTTTTATGTATATAAGGTTCAAGTCTACATCACAAAGATGGCTGAAACCATAAGGCCTGGCATGGTGGCAGCTCCGAATTTACTCATGTCTACCTGCACTTTGTCTTGAATACCCATCTAGCATGCATATCATGTATGCCTGAACGACCATCCAGCATTTACGCTTGTTTTTAAATTTTTTATCAACCTGGATAGTGAGCAATTTTTCTGCCCTGGTAAATGTCCAACTTTGTCAGACCTTGCCAACACTAACTGAGGGAGGGGGAGGGAGGTGTTATGTCCGTCAGGCCAAATAAAAAAAATGTTATTGATCCGAATACGCCTCTTTAACATTTAGGGTAGGTAGGTAGGATTTTGTTTTATTTTTTTTAACATTTGTTTTTAGGAGTAAAGTACAAACTAATAACACATTTATAAATGTGTAATTGTTTATTCAATCAAGTTTGCAGCCATCATGTTAGCTTTCTCTATTAGAATTACCAATGTCTGTCAGTGCCAGGAAAAAGCAATGGAATCCAAAAGCGTATCTTATTCATACCTCCTAAAAAACATAGGGTCGGCACCAGAATTCAAGGGTCGGTCAAGTAATCAGAACCACAACGTTTCTTTTTTTAGTCCTCAATAGGCTTTTCCTCTATTTTGCGCCATTAATGTTTGGGACATCAGTGACGTAATGATAATGACATCAAGGCAAGGGTCGTCTCTGTCATTGTTGGCATGTTCCGTGTCAATATCAATTACGAGTCGAAGCAGGAAATACATAACAGGAGGTGATGATGATTTTAATGGAGGATCACGTAACCTACAATGTGAAAGGACCCCCCCACCAAAAAAAAAGAAAAGAAAAAAAAGTAAGTGAACTCCCATGCATATCATGTATAATTATCCCCCGCCACGCGTTTAGCGCGAAGCGGGCCGGACATAGTATTAGGCTCATACGTATGTATGAATTGGAATATCTTAAGAACTGTGGACTAGATTCTTTTCACATTTGGTACCTAGGTTCATCACGGTATAAGAAACGTTCAAATCAGGTTTGGTGATCTTGGCCTTCATTTCAAGGTCACAAGGGGCCTTTAACGTTTTACGCTTGTCTGCGAGATATCTCAGGAACCGTTCACTGGTATGTCTTCATATTCAACGCCAAGCTTTATCTAAGGAAGACACAGGGCCAAGTCAATTTTGGTGACCTCCACTCAATTTTCAAGGTCATGACACATTTTGAAGATTTCAGCATGTGAAGCTTCATGTTAAGATTGTCAGCAAGATATCTCAAGAACGGTTCACTGGATTTTCTACATAGACTTTCAAGACTTCCCTTGAATGTTTTTCAATAAGCAATTTCTTTATTACTAATTTTGCATATTTTATACACTAAGATATTCATGTCAAGGTCAAAGTGAGTCTTGTAAATATTTGTGCGTTTGAACAACTACAGAGCAACATATCAAGAGAGGTTGACTGGTCATGTTTTTGTTGACATTTAACTTCATCTTAAACTATGACCTTCACTTTCAATACTTTTTAAGTTTTATTTCATAATTTGCGGCGGGGGATTATGTCACATTAGTGACAATGTTTGTTATGTAAGCACAAAATTGCTGACCCCCCCAAATCTCCTTATGGGGGTACTGTACTGCATATACAGCTTGGTCTCTCTCCCAATGAGAGCATCCTAAGGATATCAAGTTGCCAGTATCACCATTGATTGTGGGGCCACAGGGAATATAGTTTGCTTATCCACAGCCACCATCACGCTCCTGGGTGTCCAGGTGTAAGACTCCACACAGTTTGCTTCTCCGGCAGATGAAATATTCCCACTGAAAGTGAAACTTGTTTCCAGTGGTGACAGAAAATTCAAGTTTGATGGTACTGTCGTTGAATACCTAGATGTGGATAACTTGACTGGAATTCCCTTCATGGAACTTTTTTATTGACATCACAATTCGTCCTTTGTATCGAGTCATACTTGAGTATGGAACTATGTATAGGTCTACGGAAGTCACAGCTTCTGAACATGCCATTGGAAGACGCTCAAGTTGTGTTGCCTTCCCAGTACAACGTTACAACCTACTGACAGCTTTCACTCATGCTCAGACAGTCCTTGCTGGCATACAGACTATAACTTAACCTCAACCAGATGACCAACTGTGGATTGTCACTGACAGTGCTATGAAGCACCATGGCACTGAGCTACACTGCATGTTGCACATGGTGACAAACCTTGACTTGCAGGTTTCTTCAGCGTGAAACTCCACAGAGGGCAGATTACCTGGTTACCATGTGAGATGTAGCCTCCTACCTGCCCTTACAAACACACTCAGAGATTATAATTCTGATGACAGTCCAGGTCCAATCACTGACTCTTCAACTCTTAGTGAGATACTCACTCATGACGTTGACACCCTGCCTGTCTTTCCATGTTTGTTGAAAATGATGTTTGCTTGTTGCACAAGGGGAAGGATGTGTGTAACATCTGTGTAACATTGTGCCATTTTGCCAGTGATGTGTACGAATCTGTTCTACTGGTATGGGAGATGGCAACCCATATCGTTACACACCTGCCACCAAACTGTCCATTTCCTGTATGCAGTTTCGTGCATAATGTTCTCCATGATGTTTGTAAACATGATCTCTTCTGTCAGTATAGAAAAGCAAAAGAACATGACTTCACTAAACCTAACAGGTCTTCATCAGTGTTGTGGCCATACACTGTGTGTTCTTGACACTATTGTTATCATTTCCTTGCGGTCGAGTACCTGCAGTGTGTAGACTGTTCCTCTGTGTCTGGGCTGAAATGGTATTGCTGTAGCTGTTGCTGTGGATGTGAACATAAGTGTCAAACCTTATGAACCTGTCCTGCGCTGTTGATGTAACCTGTTGTCGCAGGGATCTGGGTGGGTTACCCTGCATCTGATAACAGTTTTATAGGTTTTAGATGGTGTTTAGCGATATGTGGAAAAACTAACTACGTGCAAAACATCACCGATCATTTGATAGTTGCATTGAGCTTTTTGTCAGTCTTGGCATGTTTTCAGTTTTGTGATGACAGGAAAATGAAAACACATCATTTTCATAGCCCACAATGCATATTGTGTTTTTGGCCGCAACACTGCAATGTGGTTGCATTTCCCCCACTCTGCAGTAGCCAAAATATTTTCAAACAGTAATTACATCACTCCCGATGCATGCAGACAAGAGAATATTATATTTGGTATTCATTTTGTATGAATATAAACAAAACTCCAATTTCCAATTTTATACATATATATATATATTATTGTATGTCATCATAAAGTACCATGATTCAGTTTTATGGCCTCATTTCTAGCTTCAACTGTTGCTGCTGTGGAAACTCATTACAACTTAATTTTTAATTGTACTGGAACTTTAAAGAAGACTGAAATAAGCAAGTACACAATTGCTATGAATATGTCCTTATAAGTCTTGACTGCCTTTTGTTCTGAGACTCATTATTTGAAACAGGTGGACTTGAATAAAAAATATGAAGTCCAAGAATTGTGTTATGTTTCTTGCTTGTAGTCCACCAAACACTATCTTCAGGAGTTATCTCCCTTACCTCATAATTTTTCCTGTGGCTCACATGTGTTTACTTGCTCGCTGAGAAGATTTCCAATTTCTTCTGAGGTTTGACAGTTTATTTCTCTTACACTAAGGGTAAATCTAAAAAGGATTTATCTCTGGATTTTCATCATGCACCAATATTTGCTGTGCTTTGGGTAAATTGATGTCCCTGTAGGATCTGCCCCAAGACTTCTGTGAGTCCATGCATGTTCTTTTGTGTCAAGGCACAGACAAATTGTAGCACAAATAAGGTTGCGCAACAGAGAGAAAATGACCAGTCTTCTTGCTATGGATTTTTTGCAACACCAAAATGTTGACTTACTGCCTTGGCCTGCAAATTCACCGGATCTCTCCCCGATAGAGCATGTTTGGGACGAGATGGATCGAAGTCTACGCCATCTTCCTCATCCGCCATATAACGTCCTTGACCTTGCAACAGAACTTGAGAGAATTTGGCGTGACATCCCACAAGCCTTCCTTGCACGTTTGATAGGCCCTATGTGTCGTCGATGCACTGCTGTTCTCAATGCCGATGGTGGACATACCCGTTACTGAGCTTGTGACATGGTCGTTTGACCCCTGTCCCGCTTGTGGACTCGTGACGTCATTGTGATTGACTTTTCAATTGAAATTACCCGAGTTGTTATGGTCTCATGATCCCTCCATTAAAGTTTATATATACCTTTGACATTGTTATCGTACTTATCAACTGGGATAATATTTTGACAATGCACAGTTTCTTTATGTGGCTAGTATATGTTACAGAGGAGGCCTTTAGTGCTAAACTTCTTCAAGAGAAGGTAAAGGACCACATTGGATTGCCCCCTCTAAAGAGATCCCACACTGAGATGAAGTCGCAGTTCAGGGTGCCGTTGGCACAGCACTGCTTCATACGAGTACTCGGGGCAGGAGCCATTGGACCTTAACTTAGAATTTAAGGAGCATGTGCCATGAAGAAAACAGTCAAAGTACAAAGACTGCTTCTGCTGCATGTACTGAGAGGACCTAGCAGTTCCCTCCACCAGAGGCTTGCACATGGACAGCGTGACTTGTACAGAGGGGCTGATCCAGAGGATTTACTGTGTGCTGCACTGTTTTTATTCCCCAACCCTGTGCCACCCGTTCCAGATGGAAATAGCTCAAATTCACTGATCAGAATCTACAATGTGAGGATACATATACTACTGGAATAAAGTAGCTGTGCATTATTTGAAGTTATGCCATTTTTTAATGCAAAAAGATAATAACATGATTTGTGGTGTTTTCTGGTGATAAGATAATATCTGTATGATTTGACATTACACATCGTGACACACCCTTCAGATGTGGTGTTAAGAGTCAGTTCACAATTTGAGT